TGCAGTGGGAGCCAATCTCCTCCAGGATCACGATCGCAAGACTCAAATCAAAAGGAAGGAAAGTCACAATCATACAATGCTACGCTACCCTACGCACTTACAAATAATGCAGATCAAGGGAAGAAGGAGAAATTCCATAAACAACTGCAATTAGTACTGGACAAGTTCCCATCCCAAATGGCGACATCAAAATTCTAATGGGTAGGGTGACATGAATGGGAAACTGGGAGCAGATGACACAGGAAGAGAACTAATCATGGGTCGAGAAGCACTCGGTGAAATGAAGAATGAGAATGGGGAACTGTTTGCAGACTTCTGCACATTTAATGGTTTGGTGATTAAACGCGAGGAAGCGTGTCTAAACAAAAGGATACTCACAAAGCAATACAAATTTTACCAGACACCAGGACACACAAAAATCATATAGACTTCATCTCAATGTGAAGAAAGTGGAGACTCAGCCAGTCAACTAGACACAAAATCAAGAAGGGGAGCAGATGTATGCTCACACCACTCACCATCCAGTGAAAGAAACCAACATTCAAAATCAAGTTGAAAGCCTTCAAAGAACCCGGTGATAGACCACGTTTCAAATTCAACACATAGAACAGAAACTGAACTGAAGGACGAAACTACAAACAACATCTTCACGTCGTCAGCCATCAGAACAAAATGGGAGATACTGAGCAACATCCTTGAAGAAACCTGTGTGGAAGAACACTGGAACTCTCTGAAAGCTATGTGGAAAGAAACCTGCATAACTGTGTTAGGTAGGAAGAAGAAGACCCGAGACAAGGAATGAGTCTCCATGGACAAATGGAAGCTGATAGAGGAGGGAGAGGAAGATGGTGAAGCAGAAGATGAACCAATGCATTGCAGTGCAGTGCGGGGATGAACAACGAAAAGAGGAATTGAACACAACATATAAAACACTACACTGGACAAAGAAGTGAAGAAGAGTGAGCGCAGAGACAAAAGACATTTTTATGACACACTGGCAAGTGTAGAACAGGCTGCATGTAGGAGAGACAGAGACATGACAACATTATATCAAATAACCAGCTTATTATCTGGGAGGGAAGAGATCAACGCAGCACAGATGAAACCAATTAACGACTTTAAAAAGGCCTTCGACAGAGTCGACTGAGAAGTAATTTGTCAGGCAGTTGCTTCAGCATTACGGAGTACCACTAACGTTTATCAACCTCATTCAACAGCTATATGCTTTATGATGCTACATGCCAAGTTATTCACAATGGAAAGCTCAGTGATGCGTTTAAAAGTGAAGACAGTAGTTAGACAAGGTTGCCGTCTATTATCACCGATAATCTTCCTGATTGTGGTTGACTGGATCATGCAGCAAACCGTGAGGAGTGAGAAGATGGGCATACACTGTCTGGGCGGATGAAAAGACCCCAGGAGAAGATTTGGATTTCGCCGATGATGATGATTCATGTCTAATGTCTTGTCGCTCAAACTCGAAGATCTACAGGCAAAAACCAGCAAGTTGACAGAAGAAGCAGGGCAGCGAAGACAAGAATTCCTTCAGGTGGACGTAGAGAAGACAGAGGTGATGAAGATACCCAACCAACAACAGCATCAACAACGAGCACCAATCATCATGAACGGTAGAAACCTAAAGGAGGTAGTCTCTTTCACCTACACCTACATAGGCAGCATCGTTTCAACTACAGGCGGGGGATGAGGATATCGAAGCCAGGATCGCGAAAGCGAGACAGGCCTTCATTAACCTGAAATCGGTGTAAAGATCTACTGCGCTCTACTCAGTATGAAGAAAAAGATGCGGATTTTCAGCACTGATATCAAGTCAGTGGTTCTATGTGATGGTTGTGAAACCTGGCGCGTCACGAGAAGCATTTCCAACAAACTACAGACATCCATCAACAGCTGGCGCCTTCGCTCACTCGATACTGAAAATCAGATGGCCAGAATACTTACAATAAGCAAGAAGGAACTCTGGCTGGCTGGCAACGAACCAACCAAGAACCCATCACCCAACAAATATGGAGAAGAAAGTGGAGATGGATTGGCCATAAACTGAGATGGCCGATTGTGGATATCATGCGCCAGGCCGTCGAATGGAATCCAAAGGGAAAACGATGAGTTGGGCGTCAGAGGGTGACATGGAGGAGATCATATGAGGAGGAAATGAAGGCTTCTGAGCAGTCGTGGATCCAGGTTCGAAAGACTAAAGAGAGTGAAATGGAGACATGCTGCTGAACCCCTTTGTCCCACTAGGAACCCAAGGGAAAAATATAATAGTATAATAATAAAGGAAAGCGAGGCTAGGCGACGTCTATTCGTAATCTCCGTCTACAAACTCACCGAATGCAATTCGTATGATGCAAAGGATGAAGTCCATAAAAGCTATCAGTTTTACTGCAAAAAGCAAAACGTTAAAATGTAGTTATAATGGTAGGTAACTTTAATGCTCAATTAGAGTAGCCGAGCCAGTCGGAAAGGCATCTTGGAAGTGTTTACGGAATCCCATGTCAACGATCTGACAATGGCGATCATTTGTTGAAGTTTTGTTCTGACAGTCACCTGTTTCTGGACATTATTAACTTCAAGCATAAGGGAAGAGAAACACTGTCTCATATGTTATTGGCTGACATGAAAACAACAATGGACACAGATAGATAGTATTGTCATAAGCCATCGTCGGAGAGGATCAGGCGGAAGGTTGTCTATCTTTCTGGTGTGTCCTGTTTGAACTCGGATTACGCGATAGTACGGACTCGTGTAAGTCTGCGATTTACTGGTTGCGGGAAACAAAAGACAGTAAAACCTATCCTTTCTCCAGTGGAAGAGTAGGATGCCGAGTTAACTGGGCACTTATCTGAAAGTAGAAGGAATCCTCATTCTGAGGAAACCTGGCATGATATGAAGTCTCATGTTGAAGCAGCCATAAAAGTAGTTGGTGACTTACACCTGAATGTTAGCAAGTGCGATTCGATTTCCGCAACGTCATCCGAACTGATTGATTCAAGAAGACTGGTTCCAGAGAGCTATGGCCACAATGAAGAGCTAAAGCAACTAGAACGTAAATTGACTAAGTCTTTACGTCGATCGCGACCAATGGTCGGTGACGAAAGCGAGAGAAATGGTGAAGGCACCAGCGTTTAGTCATACTCGCCAACTACTTAGGCTTACTAAGGATATCGGCAAGAAAAAGACGATAGTTAGTGGAACGACCACCGAAGAGGATGAGACGCTCATAACGACTCAGGACAAGAGGCTAGAACGTTGGACAGAACACTTTGAAGCACAGTTTAACTGGCCCTCAGCAACCCTTCAGTTGTCCAACATCCAGTATGACCTAGATAGCACACAAATGCCGGTCCACCAACTCTCATTGAAGTTGAGGAAGCTGTATCGAACCTGAAACGATACAAAGCAGCAGGACCTGACAGTTTGCTACCTGAAGCTTTCTAGGTTGGAGGAAATTGCTAATTAAAGTGACGGAGGTAATAGGTAGTGTATGGGGATCAGAGGTAGTGCCGCTAGACTAGTCTACTTCACTGATCATCCCCGTCTATAAGAGAGAAGGAAAGTCTCCTTGTGACAGCCAAATGGAAATCAACTTGACTAACATCATGACCAAGGTCCTAGGATCCATAGTTATCCGACGCCTTACTGCAGCTCGAGAACAGCAAACCACGCAAGTTCCAGACAAATCTAGACGAGGGTGCATTGACCAGATTTTCATCGTCTAATAGGTGCTGGAACAGAACATACTTATGGGCCAATTGTCCGCACTTGCCATGTTTGTTGATCAGTAAGCTGCATTTGACTCTGTAGACAGAGAGGTCTTGCGGCACTGTATGACTGTAAAAGGAGCACTGAGCGAGAATATAATGCTGATCATAGCTGTCTACTCGAACTCACACAGCCATGTCAGGGTGTACAGAGAGTCCTCATGTGAAGTGACGACAACCAGTGGTGTACGGAATGAATATTCGCTGTCACCGTTCATATTTATCTCGTTATAGACGTACTAATAGACAAAACTTTAGTTAGGTTTGACTTCATAGGGACTGAGTTACTCCCCTACCTGGGGAGAACCTGGTTGACTTGGAGTATGCAGACGATACTGTCCTGCTAGGTGCAGACGCTGACAAAATGCAGGGTCTTCTGAAGGCGTTGAGCAGAAATCTGAGTGTTTGGGATGTGTTTCGCACCTGTCAAACGAAAGATGATGCTGCAAGACTGGTCCGTTGCAAGTACTCCCAGTTTAATGAAAGAGAGTGAAGTGGTGGAATATGTCGACCACTACAGTTACTTGGAAAGTCGCACCAGCCTGAACGGGTTCAAGAGGACAATGCTAATAGAGCATGCAATTTATAATAAAAGATTCTGCTTGGATTTGACAGTTACGCCGATAATACTGATCATATGGAGACCACAGATTGTTCTCATCGCCATAGGCGTATTAAAAATTGCACCTTGTTTACATGAAGCCTACCTTATTGTAATAGTAACGAAAATCAGCTGAATTTTACTGTATATGGGTCACTGTATGCTTGATCATTCCAAACTAAGTGGATGAAACATTTCATATATCTATAATAAAGGCATGCAAATCTGTGAAAAGGTTGCAATGCACATTCAACTTAGTGTATTAGCAACTAGTCTACCAAGTGACTGATTTTCCAACCCTTATTTTAAATTAAACCACATAAACTAAATTTTGCTCCATAAAATCTTTATTGTGTATACTTCTGCTCATTTTATTCATCATGTGAGTTTTCGCTGCTGAATGCTTATGGTAGTTAAAAATCCAAAAAGAAAAAAAATAATTACAGACAATGAGCAAATGATGACAATCTACTGGAATAAAAGTGAATTCACCGTATTCCACTGGATAAAGGTGCCATTGCTGTGCGAACTTTTGAGTTTGGTTACCGAAAGTACATTTTGACAAAGTTGAAACAAGAAAAATATCATAAATAGTTTTCAATTGTCCCAACTCTGTAATATCAAACTGGTGAATACATGCCCAATTTTGTGTTGAAGTAAAGTCGAGAAAGGCGATGCTCAGTGAAGATGGCTCTGTAAAAAGAAGATAGGTGTGGAGTATTAGTAAATCCATAAAAGAGAAGTTCTTATACGGCTAATGCTGACATATAGTCAAGTGCCTGTGTATACTATCACCGTAAGGTAAGCGATAGTGATTTTTGAGTAAGACGATAAGCCAATGAAGCTCCAACGAATGCAATGACTCTTACATATACTAAGCTTGGAGTAATATCGCTGATACTGATCTGTGGTGTTCTTTTGAGCAAGAGTGTGCCCTGAAAAGACTACTGTGCACCAAACTAAGAAATGAAGCTGAAATTTTATGATCACTTAACTTATGAAGATAGTTAAACAATAGTGACTACGAACTTCTTAAATAAAGACCAAACAAAGCCACATTGATTGGTTTCGAGAAATCTGGAAACAATCAAATCAAAAAGCTCAGAAAATATCCTACCCAGAAGAATGAAATTACAAATGAAACATCATTGACTATCGATAGAATGAAGATAATGGTCAATCTCTACTCAAAAGACTCAAACCCAACTAAAACGAAAGTACTTAAAAAATGACTCAATTTCAACCCTGCATTCAGTCAAACGAAACGCAAAGATGTTATATCTAACATATAAGCGGCAGATAAGATAACCGTTGAACAGGTTAGTGTGCATTAGCACTTAAAAAACGAAAGGAAACGTAACGAAACTAGAGAGACCATGACTCGGTGGTCTAGTGGATAATGCTCTGGCGTTTAAAGCAGTCGGTTTCCAGTTAAAATCCTGGTGGGGACAATATCACTCAGTGGGGTGCAGGTACATCCAAATGACGAGTCCCAAATAGGATGAAACGCGCGACCTGGATTCCACTGCTAGCCACTATACATAATCAGTATGAAACTAGAGAAATCAGTTATAAATAATCTGCAAAATAACAATAGCATAACAATCGTCAAATTTGATGAAGGTAATTGAACAGCAGTTACAGACAAATCAGATTTTTCCGAAGAAATTCACAAAAATATTCAAGCAGGATCATAGTAAGAGATCAAGAAACCTATAGATGTCACGAGTAATATAAGGAAATCTATAGACGATTTGATCCGCCAGCTGAAACCATCTCTGAGTAAGCCTAAGTAGTTGAATATATTGCCTGGAACTAATGATCCTAGTAGAATTCACGCTACTACTATTAAGATTCATAAAGCAGGTTATTGACCGATGGTTGACTTCAGAAATACATGGGCATATGAAATAATTAAGTATTCAGTATCCATATTGTCCTATTAGAAAGCCTTCAAGCTCTAGACTAATCATTCCTATGAACTGAGACTCAACGATTTGCCCATAGATGATGAAAACACGGTTAGTTTCAATTTAGTAAGCCTTCACACTAAGATACCAATTAATATGGCACTGAAGGCAACCAAAAATCAGCTGAATAATGATCCAGAAGTTAATCATACAACTGAGGTAACGGTTGCTGAAATCCCGTTACTTATACGGCCGTGTCCGAACCTCAACAACAGACTTCAATTTATACCACAGGATATGCAGACAAGCAGAAGTAGAGATAGGATCATCAATCTCCCCAACTGTAGCAGATGGATTTATGAATAGTTGAGAACATACGATTTTACGGAATTTAATCCTAATCCTAAGGTATGGTGGAGATGCGTGGATGACACATTAACGGTGTTGAAGCCAGGGCACGTTGATAATTTCTTCACATATATAAAATCAGAAGTTCACTCACGGGTTAGAAAATGGAGAAGGAGAATTAGTCATGTTGGACGGCAAAGTAAAAAGAAGAACATATACTGGTTTAGGTACTAGTGTTTGTAGAAATAAAACACATTCTGACAGGTAGTTAGACTCCAGGTCATCTTATCCAGTATCAGTAAAAGCAATTGTAGTTAAATATCTAAATAATTAAACTAGAAAAATCACTATCGATTAACGATTATTCTCTAAGTTCTGTTGAGAAATTCGTAAGAACATAAGAGCATTATGAATAGTAAAGGCAACGCCAAAAGAAAGGAATTCAAGGTTTAACTTGTGTTGCTATACAAAGAAGGGAACATCAGAAATCTTATATATAATTCTCAACAAGGCTAGAATCAAGATTACATTCAAGTCTTATCGACTCAGGATTCTACTCACCCGATCAGGCAAAGTAATTTGATCCAGCAAATACCATGCAATGAATTTAGGGTCAAATACTGAGTACAGACGGGTTGATCAGGATCAATAAGATTATCAGAGCATCGAAACTAGACTGACAGCACAGCTATTGCAATTTATTCACAAACATACAATCACACAATAAAGTGAGCCAAAGCCATTGTACTACAGTCCAACATGGTTAGAGAGAGGGTAAGATTGATTACCGAATCTTTGTTTATCGAAGCAACACCCAACACATCTAACAAGAATGACAAATTTCCTGAACCGAAGATGTGGAGAATCTTACTACCAATGAAAACAAAGAATACGAGGTGATACAACTATAAAAATTAATTGCCAGAAGTTTGTGATTAAGTGACATGATTACGAGCAGACAGACAAAATCAAAGTAGGACCTCGCACATACGTGCATCAATTTAAGTTGCCACACTACACAGTAGAATATAAACAACAGGTGGATAGAAAAAGAATGATATTAAAGAAGGCAAAGTTGTGCGAGCGAATGAACAATTTGAAGATAACGGTTAGTAGAAATATTAAAGCTTTAGAAAACGTCAAAGAGTAAATACATCTGTGCCGCTGTGACGGATTTTCATCCATGTCATCAAGAGTTATAAACCACTGATTCGTCTCGAAAACCCCTTGATTATGAGCAATAAATTATGCTCCAAATACCACCATCTAGTAAGTAATACTGTATCACTATGCGCTGTATAAGACAACCAAGGAGTAACTTATTATACCAATATGCTTTAGTTTATTTCTGTCAAAGCTTTGCACACATTGCTTCTATATTAGAAGATATGCAACCTCAAAGTAGGCGATTTTCGGGACAGTGTAACACTTCATTCCAAGCAACTGAATCAACAGTTGAATAAAACTCAGATGCTTCGTCTTACTTAACTAAAAGTCGTAGTTTATTATAAAGTCTAAGGATGAATTATATGAGTTTTATCCGAAAGTAATTTTATTAACAAGTCACTATTGGTGAGATAACTGATTAAAAGTTACAAAGTAGTGAGCAAATGATTAGTTTCACTATGTAGAGTCAGTCGGAGTAGTTTTCAGCTACGATGACTTTGAAGGCCGCTCTAACAACGATCGAAATAACCAATTTGGTTCTTGCATTTCGGCTGGAAAGGGAGATTTCCATAAAATAGAGAAGTCTAATTCGATATTTCAGTTGTTGCTAAGATGACCTTTAAAGTTACTCGATGAAACTTCATTGAAATTAAATTCGCTACAATTGAAATCATCAAGTTTGAAAGCAACAGGTATTATTTAAAAAAAATAAAAACTGTCTACTTCAATTTCACATCAAGAATAAGCAGTGATACTAGTATTATTTTAACTTGGCAGTATGTATAACTTATCAGTGCTTCAAATAGTACGCGGATATTTTCTTTTTTCGCTACACTTTATGTGATCTAGAAGATTATTAGGTAATATAGAAGGTAACATAGGACTATTTTAACTAACAATGAGTCAATTTCCTTGTACTATAACTAGTAATATGAAATGTCTATCGAGACAAGATGAAACAGCAAGGTGAAGGTAGAATTACGTTCTCACAGTGGTGGAGATGAACACTAATTCTAAACCGAATCGAAACAGAAACGAACTCGGCTGCTTTGTTCACATCCATGGAGTAGGCAATAATCTACACACTTATTATGTGAGGGGTAGTGATACTACCTGGCTGCTCAAACCTCGGTAGGTGGAGCGGTGTTTGAACCTGTGACCCTGTGGTTGGTAGTCATCCCCATAAACCAGTAATTCTAAAGGTAGGCTGTAAATTCAAACAACTCAACTGTTGCGTAGATTCTGGTTACTTTTGTTTGCTTATTGAGGAAGTGTTATTTAACATTCAGTACTAATACTAATATAACGCTTTAAGTAATTTAAACTGAATACATTTCAGAGGTGTCTCACTGCACAGCATGAATACAAAAAATGAGTAATTCATGGAGAAAGTTATTGAAGAAGTTTTTGTATGACTTTGTCACGTCTCTCCTACGTTTTATTGCCAATGAAGATAGTAATGAGAATGTACATACCGGCTTTCTTTCCATGATACAAATTCATTAATAAACACCAACAGAATGCACGAAATAAATCCGAACGCCAAAACAGTTGGGGATAAAATATGCCAACTTGTTAACTTTGAAGATGAATCTGTACTGCAGAGACGAACGATGATATAAACTGAATGCACAATAACGCTGAAAAAAGGTAACGAAGGTAATAAAAATAAAAACTTATTCATGAAATTGTACTAGATGATAATGACGACAAACAAATTTCGGGCCTAACTGAAGAAAGTATCTTTCAGCGATCACACTCAGATTAACTTTCAATAACAGATACAGTTTGCCACAGCAGCTGAACCACAGGTTTTCTTCTTCTTTCCTCAACTGCTCCTGTGGAGTTAGTTATCTTTAGTCTCATAGCCCTGGATCTTTCTGGGTTGTTATGAGGTGTTGCAACTTTGAGTGCTACGCGGTTATGCCAGGTTTCATGCATGACGACTTTTGGGGACCATCTGACTAAATGTGAAAGAATATTTACCGCAATGGTTAGCTAAAGGTGAAGTAAAGGCAATATAAAGTTAATGTAAGCGTAAAACTTGGACACTGATAGTCTATGATTCTATGTTAACGAGTATGCCGGATATTAAACACAGCGAAACAGTATTATTTGCTGGATGCAATTCGAACAGTATTAATTGTTCATATTAATATATAAGGTAACAGGGAATCTTTTACATCCTATTTTTATAGTTCGATTTCTCCTCTGTCTGGTGACTGACAGTGGAATCCAAGACGCACGTTTTATCTTATTTGGGACTCGTCATTTGGATGTACCTGCACCCCACTGAGTGATATTGTCCCCACCAGGATTTTAACTGGAAACCGACTGCTTTAAACGCCAGAGCATTATCCACTAGACCACCGAGTCATGGTCTCTCTAGTTTCGTTACGTTTCCTTTCGTTTTTTAAGTGCTAATGTTGGTTACTCGCAGTGGAAACCAGGACGCGATACAGATTTCACTACCAGCCACCAAGCAGATATCTGCATAATCAGTAATCAGGAGCCCATCTGCCAACAGAGGTTGAGTGATTCGACCCAGTATAGCGTCAAGAGATTACAAGTATCAGACAACATTGATTTCTCCTCCTACATTTGTCTAAAGGGGTTCTAGAATTTTACAAATATCCGGTATAGGTGTTGAGCTTCATTTTTCAACCTCTCCTACCAGCGCACTAAGTTTTTAAGACTGGCCTTGTTCCCTCCTATCACGTAGATTTTATGTGATCGCAATGACTAAGCTCTTTTCTAGATTTCTGACCTTACTAGGGTATAATCATTCTAGATTTGGTCAAAATTTTGAGCTGTTATTTTAATTAACCCCGTTCGATAACTCTGACCTATGTACTTGACCTCAATGCATGGAATTTGATGTAGTAAATTACTTTGCCGAATAGCATCTGTAAGATTTCTAAGCCTGTAAAGCTTATTTCTCAGAGTTTGTGACCTTAAAAGTCGCGTTAATCTTGCGTGAACTTTCTGAGGCACCTTCCTCGTATGGTCACACCGTAGAGATTTTGAATTCTCGTCTCTTGGTGTTACCACTGTTCGTATATATATATATATATATATATATATATATATATATATATATATATATATATATATCTGTACTACCCATCTTTTTCTTACAATTGCTTTCACATTTCTGGTTCACTTCACGTGGACAATTATTGAGTACGACGGTTTCCTTAATGTCTGATTCCCCGTCCTGGAGATTTGTTTTACTGCTTTGAGATTTCGTTCTATTATTTAAACATTTCACTAAACCTATTTTAACTGACATAGGATGAGAAAACCTGTAGTCAAAGTATCGAACACATTTTCATTTTAGTATTGTCAGGTTTGTCTAGTACTACTGACAACGAAACAGGTAGAAGTGTCATGAAATCCCTGGACGACAAGTTTGCTCGGACGAAAACTTAGCAACATGAAGTAGGTAACAGTTAAGATACAAGAACTTACATCGAACAAGAGACGATGCACCAAGTAGGATTTGTATGGTACCGAAACTGCCACATTCTTTGACCATGATTGGCGTAGGAAAATGATATGATGACTAGAAGGAAGGTATGAGGTAAATGGAGCACATAACAGTTTATAGAAAGTAATTAAAAGTGATGAACGGGGAAATAAACACCTTGTTATGTGGTTTTTGTAGTGTGGAATACAATTGCTATAATCCTCATAAAACGCCTTAATTTCTGAAGGGTTCCATAGCCAATTATGTTTCACTGAAGTTTCAAGAGAAAACACATGAACCAACGTGTAAATATCAGATCGGTAGATGGGAGGAAAATCAATAGGACATCCAAATCTGGAAATAGCAAAAATCCACTGCAAATATGTATAAAACCCTTGTATTTTGTATAAATTTTTGCCGTTGCAATACGCCTTCTGTTATCGCGCCGTCTTTTCCATTTATCAAGAAACTGAGCGACCATCAAGTGGTGGGATCTTAAAGTTATTGTTCAGGCGTCCGCACATCTATATAACTTAGGTTATTATTAAGTATTCACTAAAATAATATGACAGTCACTTTCCACAGATGAAGATCATACTTCTCTAAAAAAGACGTTTGTAAACCAGTAATTAAATCCTTCAGCGTGCGAAGTGAATCCAAAACCAGACTGTAGCAGTATACAGTACCAACAGAATGTCACCTAAGCTGCTCATAAAACACGAAGAAACTTAGAATGACGGTTTGGTCAAATCGATTAACAGCGTGATGCTGTAGTTCCCTTTCAAGATAATCACGTTGTACGAGAAGTTAACTGAGAATAAACCGGGTTGGTGGCAGTGTCTTTTATTGAGGCTATGAATGTTAGTGGAACAGAGTAAAATGTATGTACACCGTACACTTTGCCTGTTGATTTCGGCAAGAGGAAAGTTGGAACAAAATACGATGATCTGTGGATATAAAACCTCTTCGACAATTGTTGAAAAATAAAGAAATATCTGTTACTTAGCTGACCACTTTAAGAACTATGCTAAAAAAACTATATAAAGAAATATTCCAACCGTTAATCAAACCCAACAGTAAAAATACATGGGGATAACAGTTCAGTTACCAGCTAGTTACTGTTGTTATCAATTCTCATCATCATCAATATCAACATTGGACCAGGCATTACTGCGTAACGGTCCAAGTTGTCACAGCTCATATCGGTACATCAAGTAATAAGCTGCTACCTTGACGTGGTGGTCGGGCTTGCATATCACAATGACCCAACGAGCTATGCTGGTGGAACGCTTGTTCCCTCGAGGTCCTACCATACCAGAAAGGTCTGTTGGGTAGTGGTTAGACGAAAAGCAGTTACCGTTATAGTGTAAATTGCTACACTATGATGGGGGTCTGAGGGCGAAGTCGTACTGCTGCTAGCTGGATGGGGTGTGACAGCAGTAAGGTGTTTCCCTTGGATGACCAGCAGTGCCAAGCTGATGCTGCCTTCTCAGTGGAAGGGGGGGTTAGAAAAGGTCGGCCCCAAAAATAACACACTCCACCACGCCCCACGGTCTGCCGGGCCGGCGGTGTTGGTTCACTTGTCGTTTCCTTTCGACCATCCGGCCCCAAAAATACAAAAATTCAAAATAATCATACTCAAAAGGCTGGGTGTGACAGGCCTCAAGCAGATGTCCGATGGGCTCTGCGGTCACACAAATCTCTTTCAGGTACCTTAAGAAGAAATAGCCTTCCACGGTGTGGGCAGCCGGGAAGTGTCAACCGCCCTCACAACTCTGTCAGCACCCAAGTTTCTTCTGACTGCTATCCTCCTCCTCCATCATTACCTTCTAATCTTCCTTCACGTCTCTTAATTAATGATGCTGCATCATCTTCAATTTCTCCTACCTCTGCAGCCTTCGACAACGATCTGAGTCCACAGAACAGCGTCCCTGGTCTCCTTAAACCACGCTCCAAATTACATATTGGAGCCTTCAATGTCCGCACCCTCCGTCAAATTGGCCAACAGGCTTCGTTGGCAAAGACTCTAGCAACTCGAGGCATGGATGTGTGCTGTGTTTGTGAGACACGCATACAGGACCCAAGTGTGGTTATTCACCTGACCTCTCCTGACCAATCTGGTGAATCTGCAAAATTCACCCTTCGAGTTTCTGGAGATTCGATAGCTAGCTCTCGTGGTCTTGCAGGTGTAGGTATAGCATTAAGCACCAGGGCAGAAAACTCACTACTAGACTGGATCCCAGTTGATAGTCGCCTCTGCGCTATGAGGCTGAACGGCACAGTGAGAACTAAAAGGAATAGTGAGACTCGCCGTTGTCTCTTTGTAATCTCTGCTTACGCACCCACTGACTGTAGTTCGGATGAAGTGAAGGACGAGTTCTACCATAAACTGTCTAACCTCCTCTCGAAAGCCAAACGTTCGGACGTAGTGGTTGTTGCAGGTGACCTCAACGCACAGGTGGGTAGACTGAGTGAGGCAGAAAGGCACTTAGGTGGCACTTTCGGAATCCCAGCTGAACGTACAGATAACGGTGATCGCCTATTACAACTATGCTCAGATAACCGCCTATTTTTAGCCAGCACAAATTTCAGACATAAAGAAAGGCACTGTCTGACCTGGCGTCCACCGAGCTCGACTCAGCGATGGACACAGATAGACCACATTGCTATTAGTCATCGCTGGAGAGGATCGGTGGAAGACTGCCGCTCCTTCTGGAGTACGTGTTTGGACAGCGATCATGCGTTGGTCCGAGCACGTATATGCCTGCGTCTCAATGGACGTAGAAAAAATTTGGCAACAAAACCACTACGAGTTCTGCTGGACAACGAAAACACCAAAGCCGTGTTCAGTGAGAAGTTGGCTAGGCAGTTATCGGAACAAAAGACTGTCACTCATCCAGAAGAAGCTTGGTGCCATCTTCAGTCTACTGTAAAAGCAGCACTGGAGACTGTAGCCGACTCCAAGATAATGGCTAAAAAGAGCCAGTGGATATCAGCAGCTTCTTCCAAACTAATGGATGCACGTGAATGCATCCCTGCAGGCTCTGAGTACAATGAAGAGCGAGCGCAACTTAAAAATAAACTGACGAAAAGTCTGCGCAACGATCGTGAACAGTGGTGGGCAGCAAAGGCTAAAGAGATGGAAAAGGCAGCGGCGATCGGTAACAGTAGACAGTTATTTAGACTTATTAAGGAGACTGGGGGGAAATGGTCAACAACAGTTAGTGAGGTTATAGCGGAGAAGGACGGATCGGCGATTCACTCGCAGGGAAGGCGACTGGGACGATGGGCAGAACACTTTGAGGAACAGTTTAACTGGCCTCCAGCCACCATTGCGCTGCCCGCTATCCAGTCGGACCCTGAATGGGACATAGAGACAGGTCCCCCAACACTAGAAGAAGTTGAGAAAGCGGTAGGTAGCCTGAAACGGGGAAGGGCAGCAGGACCAGACGGACTACCTGCTGAGGTATACAAGAATGGTGGTAGAGTTCTCTTAGTCAGGCTAACGGAAGTGTTAGCCAGTATATGGGAATCAAATACGATCCCCTCCGACTGGTCTAAGTCACTCATCATCCCAGTCTTCAAGAAAGGCGAGAAGTCCTCTTGTGATAACCACAGAGGAATCAGCCTGACAAACATAGTGTCTAAGATCCTAAGTTCTATAATTCTCCGACGCCTGAGTGGAGCTCGGGAACAGCAAGCCCGAGAAAACCAGGCAGGCTTTAGACCTGGCCGTGGATGTATCGACCAAATATTCACACTGCGCCAGGTCCTGGAACATAGGCATGCTTACAGACGCCCGACAATAGCTGTATTTCTCGACCTGAAGGCGGCATTTGACTCCGTTGATCGAGAAGTCTTATGGCAGTGTCTGTCACTGAAAGGCGTGCCTAGTAAGTACATCACCTTATTGAAAGCTCTCTACTCGAACACTTGTGGGCATGTTAGAGCCTATGGTGAGTTGTCCAGGGAGCTATACTCATCAAGTGGTGTCCGTCAAGGATGCCCACTATCCCCATTCTTATTTAATTTTATCATAGATATTCTTATGGAGGTTTCCCTCTCGTCACCTAATTACAAAGACGTTGACCGGATCACAGGTGAATTTTCCTTAGATCTAGAATATGCAGATGACATAGTCCTGTTAGGTGAAGACGCTGACAAGATGCAGAGTCTTCTGAACACTTTGAGTGGGAATTTGAGAATGTTTGGGATGCGATTTTCACCACCCAAATGCAAATTTTTGCTCCAGGACTGGTCTTCAGCGGTACCGCGGTTAACAATAGAGAGTGAAGTGGTTGAGTGTGTTGACCACTTCACTTACCTGGGAAGTAGGATCAACCCGGTGGGTTAGTTGCCGATGAGATTTCTGCACGGATACAAAAGGCTCGATTGGCTTTTGCCAATTTGCGCCACCTATGGCGCCGCCGTGATATTCGTTTGTCTATTAAGGGTCGCGTGTACTGCACAGCAGTCCGCTCTGTTCTACTGTATGGCTGTGAAACATGGCCATTGAAAGTGGAAGACATGAGAAGGTTACAGGTATTTGACCACCGTTGCCTTCGTAGTATAGGACGTATTCCGTGGTGTCACCATGTGAGTAATGCAGAAGTTAGGTGTAGAGTTTTAGGGAGAAGAGGTAAGTCAGTCGACGAGGTTGTGAACCTTCATCGACTGAGATGGTTGGGACACGTACTACGTATGCCTAGTCACCGATTGCCTCGTCACACAATGTTGGCTGAGGTGGGTTCAGGCTGGAAAAAGGCCCGAGGTGGCCAGACTAAAACATGGCACCAATGTATGAAGTCTCTGACTGTTGGTTTAAGCCATGTAGGACGATGCAGACTAGGTGGTTGGGGTCCACGGGACAAGAGGAACCAGTGGTTGGAGACCCTAGGTGATATGGCTCAGAACCGAAGTCAGTGGCGCAGATGTATACACACATTATCCTCATCTTAACAACGCTATACCGAATCTCACTATTTTGTCACTCCTCTTTCCTTTCTTCTCGTACTTTATATTTCTTTTGACTGCATTCACTTATCTTCATCCTTCACCTCACTACCTTTTACTTGATGTGCTGATATGAGGTGTGGCAACTCGGACCGTTACGCAGTAATGCCTGGTCCTATGTTGATAATGATGATGATGATGAGTGAAGTAGAAGATGGAAACAAAATTCAGTCAAAAGACATATAAAGTAATCAGAGAGAGAGAAAGGCAAAATGAGAAACTGATGAGATTCGGTATAGCGTCGTTAGGATGAGGATAATGTGTGTATACATCTGCTCCACTGACATCGGTTCTCAGACATGCCATCACCTTGAGTCTCCAACTACTGGTTCCTCTTGTCCCATGGACCCCAACCGACTAGTCTGCATCGCCCGACATGGCTCAAACCAACAGTCAGAGACTTCATACATTGGTGCCATGTTTTAGTCTGGCCACCTCGGGGCTTTTTCCAGCCTGGACCCACCTCAGCCAACATTGTGTTACAAGGCAATCGGTGACTAGGCATACGTAGTACGTGTCCCAACCATCTCAGTCGATGAAGGTTCACAACCTCGTCGACTGACTTACCTCTTCTCCCTAAAACTCTACACCTGACTTCTGCGTTACTCACGTGGTGACACCACGGAATACGGCTTATACTACGAAGGCAACGGTGGTCAAACAAAACACCTGAGGCCAGCCTTCTCTTGTCTTCCACCTTGAATGGCCATGTTTCACAGCCATAGAGTAGAACAGAGTGGACGGCTGTGCAGTACACGCGACCCTTAATAGACAATCGGATATCACGGTGGCGCCATAGGTGGGGTAAGTTGGTAAAAGTCAACCGAGCCTTTTGTATCCGTGCAGAGATTTCATCAGCCACTGAGCTAGCCACTAGGGCTGATCCTGCTTCCCAGGTAAGTGAAGTGGTCGACACACTCAATCACTATACTCTCTACTGTTAGTCGTGACACCGTTGAAGACCAATCCTGGAGCATTTGTTTGCATTTGGGTGGTGAGAAACACATCCTAAACATTCTCAAATTCCCACTCAAAGTGTTCAGAAGACTCTGTATCTTCACTTAACAGGACTATGTCATCTGCATATTCTAGGTCTAACGAAAATTCTCCTGCGATTAGGTCAAACTCTGTGTAGTCAGGTGACGAGAGGAAGATCTCCATAAGAATATCTATGATGAAATTGAACGAGAATGGAGAGAGTGGGCACCCTTGACGGACACCACTCGATGAGTATAGCTCCCTGGACATCTCACCATAGGCTCTAACACGCCCACAAGTGTTCGAGTGGAGAGCCTTCAATAAAGTGATGCACTGATTCGGCACGCCTTTCACTGAGAGATATTGCCATAAGACTTGTCGATCAATGGAGTCGAATGCCGCCTTTAGGTCGAGAAATACAGCTAGTGTCCAGTGTCGGTAAGCCTGCTTGTGTTCCAGAACCTGGCGCAGTGTGAATATCCGGTCGATACACACGCTGCCCGGTCTAAAGCCTACCTAGTTTTCTCGGGCTTGCTGTTCCCGAGCTCCACTCAGGCGTCGAAGAATTATAGAACCTAGGATCTTGGACACTATGTTCATCAGACCGATTCCTCTGTGGTTATCACAAGAGGACTTCTCGCCTTTCTTGAAGACTGGGGTGATGAGTGACGTAGGCCAGTCAGAGGGGATCGTATTTGATTCCCATATACTGGCTAACACTTCCGTTAACCTGACTAAGAGCACCTTACCATCATCTTTGTATACCTCTGGGGTTAGACCGTCTGGTCCTGCCGCCCTTCCTCGTTTCAGGTTACCTACAGCTTTCTCGACTTCTGATAGTGTTGGGGGACCTATCTCTATGTCCCATTCAAAATTCAACTGGATAGTGGGCGACGCAATGGTGACTGGAGGCCAGTTAAACTGCTCCTCAAATAACTGTTTACTGCTACCAATCGCCGCTGCTTTTTCCATCTCTTTAGCCTTTGCTGCCCACCACTGGTCGTTGCCTAGACTTCTTCTCAGTCTACTTTTAAGCTGCACTCGCTCTTCATGGTATTCAGAGCCTGCAGGAATGCGTTCATGTGCATCCATTAGTTCGGAAGAAGCTACTGATATCCACTGGCTCTTTTCAGCCACTCTTTCGGAGTGGGCTACAGTCCAGAACGCTGCTCTTACAGCAAACTGGAGATGGTACCAAGCTTCTCCTGGATGAGTGATAGTCTTCTGTTCCGATAACTGCCTAGCCAACTTCTCGCTGAACACGGCTTTGGTGTTTTCGTTGTCCACCAGCACTCGTAGTGGTTTTGTTGCCAAATCTTTCTTACGTTCATTGAGACGCAGGCATATACGCGCCCGGACCAACGCGTGGTCGGTATCCAAACACGGACTCCAGAAGGAGCAGCCGTCTTCTATCGAAGACTAATAGTAATGTGGTCTATCTGTGTTCATTGCTGAGTTGAGCTCGGTGGACGCCACATCAGACAGTGTCTTTCTTTATGTCTGAAGTTTGTGCTAGCTAAAAGTAGGCGGTTATCTGAGCACAGTTGTAGTAGGCGATCACCGTTATCTGTAAGTTCAGCCAGTGCCACCTAAGTACCTTTCCGCCTCACTCAGTCTACCCACCTGTGCATTGAAGTCACCTGCAATAACCACCACGTCCGAGTGTTTGGCTTTCGAGAGGAGGTTAGACAGTTTACGGTAGAACTCATCCTTCACTTCATCCGAACTACAGTCAGTGGGTGCGTAAGCAGAGATTACAAAGAGACAACAGCGAGTTTCACTAGTCCTTTTAGTTCTCACTGTGCCGTTCAGTCGGGTAGCGCAGAGGCGACTATCAACTGAGGTCCGGTCTATTAGTGAGTTTTCTGCCCTAGTGCTTAGTGCTGTGCCTACACCTGCAAGACCGCAAGAGCTAGCTATCGAATCTCCAGAAACTCGGAGGGTGAATTTCACGGACTCACCAGATTTGCCGGGAGAGGTCAGGTGAATAACCACACTTGGGCCCTGTATGCGTGTCTCACAAGCACAGCACACATCCGTGGCCCGAGTTGCTAGAGTCGTTGTCAACGAAGCCTGTTGACCAATTTGACGGAGGGTGTGGACGTTGAAGGCTCCAATATGTAATTTGGAGCGTGCTTTAGGGAGACCAGGGAAGCTGTTCTGTGAACTCAGATCGTTGTCGAAGGCTACAGAGCTACGAGGAATTGAAGAGGATGTAGTATCGTTAGTTGAGAGACGTGAAGGAAGATTAGGAGGTAATGATGGTGGAGGTGGATAGCAGTCTGAGGAAACTTGAGTGCTGATCGAGTTGTGAGGGCGGTTGACACTTCCCGGTTACCCACACCGTGGAAGGCTATTTCTTCTTAAGGTACCTGATGAGATTTGTGTGGCCACAGAGCCCATCGGATGTCTGCTTGAGGACTGTCACACGCATCAATTCTACTGTAGTAATTGTTATATAATGCGGAGATACTCATAACTCCTAAGTCATGAAGTTGATCTAAATATGATAGTATGTGTATCAATGAAGCCTCGTTCACGAATGGTTTCCTTTAAGCAATAGTAGCAGTTCATTTCATATGGATAGGAGAAGATTGGCAATAAGTCATACAAAAGATACACGTACATTCAATAAAACAAGTTCACTTACCTATGTAAGTGATAAACTGATAGAATATCAAATCTTTTACACTGTATACTAACAGAGACAACTTTGAGAGACATAATTCTTGAATAGCATACGACTGTGACCTGTTAGGAAGGCAACATAAAGACAACAATAATCATAAGAGTAAGAGATAACCGGAAAAACATCAACACTCAGGTCAGTAAAATAGTAATTCTATTGTTCACCACAGTTTGGAAGATATTTCACGAGTTAAAAAAACTTGCAAAAAAGTGATGCTCCTTTCCAGTTTTTATACTGTAATCAGGAAATGTTAATTCTTCAGTCATCAGAGTAATTAATTTCCTAATAAACTTTATATTGCAAAGAATAATAATTTTTGATTTATGAAAGCAAGATTGGTTTTATATTACAAATTAAAGAGACTTTTATATTTATTAACTGCTTACTGGAGAGCGGCCAAATTCCATGTTTTGATATTATGGCTTGTAATCTCCTGTCGACGAGTGGACCAAATCGATTGTCTGCTATTGGAATATGAGGTCCTGTGCGGATATCTCGATACTGCCAATGTTTTCAGTTTGATACTAATGATGGATAGTGCCTAGTAGTGGAATCCGAGAGGAGCATTTCGTCCTATTTGGGACTCATCAGTTGAACTTACCTACCTCCCACTGAGTGATATTTTCCCCACAAAGACTCATACCCAGAATGTATCACTTGAAACGCTGGAGAGTTATTCATTAGGCCAGTGAGTCGCGATAGCACTTAAAGCGATTGATCTTGGGTTGGAGTCCTTGTGGGAAAAACATCACTCATTGGGAGACAGGCACGTCCAGCCAACGAGTCCGAAACAGGATGAAACGGGCATCCTGTATTCCACTGCTAGTCATTATCCATCACTGGTAACAATTTCATGCCATCTAGTCCTGAGTACTGAGAAATACAGTGTTCATGTTTGATAGAATTAATTGATTTATGCCTTACAACATATTTTCAATTCAACGGCAAACTCCATAAGCTGAAAAAAGGAACACTAATGGGGTCGCCTATGTCAAGACTTATTGAAGAAGCAGTAATGCAAAGATTGGAAACTATAGTATTGCCGTTGATCAAACCAAAACTTTAGGTTCAATATGTGGATGACACTTTTGTTGTCATTAAAACGAACAAGTTGGAAAATGCTTACAAATTAATCAATAACGTTTTCGACAACATCAAATTCACAACTGGAGACATTGAAAACAGACTAGCGATTTCAGATATTCTAATCAGTAGAAGGCATTCGGGAAATAGGAAAATGAAGTATACAGAAAGTTAGCTCATACAGATCAAATCCTCAACTGCAGAAGCATAAAAATTGTTTAAAAGAGCGAAGGCACACCGTAGTATATCAACCTTAGAAAAAAAGGAAAACTATTTAATGACTACTTTCCAGAAGAATAGCTATTCACGCAACTTTATGAAAAAATGCTTGTCTAATTGGGTGTTAACCAAAAAGTGATTCATGGAAATCAAAAAATGAAATGTCTTACTTTACACGAAGAGCGTGTCCTAGAACGCAGCTAGATTACTGAAGCTTTTTGGAATCGCCGTAGCTTACACTCCTACAAAATCTCTTCACTCTTCGTTATGCAGGCCAAAAGATACAATAGCGAAGGAAGACGAGTCAAATGTTATCTACAAAATAAACTGCATAAGCTGCAACAGAGTGGTCGCCATCTTCGTATCGGTCTACATGAACATCAACTAGGAGTGAACAATTATGATATATCTTCACCCATATTAATACACACAGACAATTGTGGACATGAATTACACTAGAAAAAGGTGGAAATCCTGGATAGGGGAGATACAAAGAATGCTAAGGAATTTTTAGGAGCATCATACTCAGGTTAGTCAGCGATCAAAAAACATATCGACATTCAGCGAAGCTACCAACCAATAAAAAATACAAGGAGCTCAAGGTTTACGTCGGCAAATCAAGCAATCGAAATAAGCATTGAGTCGCAACTGTGAATCACACTCAAGATTATCAGGACAAGTTACTCAACCTACTGTGGAGAAAATCCTATAGCTCACTTCCTTCTGAAGTTTGTGTTGACGATGTCTACAATTACAATGAAAGCTTCAGGATTGAACCATCCAGCTCAGAGAACACAACACCAATATATATATATATATATATATATATATATATATATATATATATATATATATTCTTATTCTTCAAGAGTGCAGTATCTGGAGTCCCCTTTCACTCACCCTATTATTTTGAATACAGCAGAGATTGAATGGCAGTTGAAATTATGTGGTACACTGTATCCTATGCAGGGTTGATTATGTGGATATAAACCTCTATTGCAATGTTATGCTTCATACTAATACTAGCACACAACCAATACCACTTCCGACATAAGCATGTTACCCACTAAGTGGTCAGGTAACAAACGACCCTGTTTGCGGAAACACATCCAGGTGAAGAGTAAGATCGTTTAGTTGGCTACCAGAAACGAAAATACTAAAAGGTAACCATTTTCAACATAAAGTAGCCACATATCAATGTGTCCACACGGGGTAACTAAATTGAGCTTAGCAGGTTGACAACAGAAATATGCTAAGACCTGTTATTTAGCAATTCGAAGTAGGCATGAGGTCTTTTGTCTGCTGACTACTATGAAGAATTTCATTGCATCTACTTGATGTCATGTATCACATAAGCGGCGGGCTATTGCACTGCTGGATGAACATATGCCAAAGAGTTAACATCTCAGAGGTACATTGGCGTTTAGTGGTGCAATAGCTCGTCACTTATATAATACAGGACATCAAGTAGGTGTGATTAAACCGTTCACAGCAGTCAAAAAAAAAGACGTTTTATTATCTTCTTTATTATTCGAAGTTCACACTAATTACTTAATTTAAAAAGGGAGTATGTTGTATCTTTGTGTATTTATGGATAAAGGTGAATAAAAGTGAATTTTGACACACCTAGAATGAAATTCAGAACATAAAAGTATGCGAAACTAACAATCAGTTTCAATAAGGCTGAAATAATACTGGAACAACCAGTTTACATACGTAAGATAAAGCCACACCTTACAAAACTAAAGGTGAAATAAGGTTGTTTATCTTCTGTTGGGTAACATTTCCTATGGAAAAACAGAGGACTTATAATAAATTCTTTACAGTGAAATATAGCTGTGGGTGAAGTTGTTATTCATTCCTGATAACTGACTACCAGTTAGAAGAACTGGTGTATTTCACGAAATATTCTACTGGATTGTTAACCTTGATCTCTTTTTCAGTTTGAAGTTGATGTGTCATTGGTCTTGTGGCTATAGACTGTTTGTCATTAGTACTATATGTATAAGAATGAAATTAGCTGTTTGACTAAGATAAGAGTATTAGACATCAGAACAGAGTGATTGGGTGTTTAAATTGCACTCATATGATGTATTTTTATACACAAAAACCTATGTTTATTGTAAAACAAATTATAACAAGCAACTTATGGTCGAAAAAGGAAACCTGATTGGAATGGATTTGTTTTTATTCCTTTGGATTTTCAAATTCAGGCAACCCATCATATTGCGTGACTGATACTCCATGTTACCATGAGAGCAGAGAAACAAGCGGAATGCGTAAACATACTTTCAATTAGAATTTTAAATAACTTTTCTTTGGAATAGTCATCACTAATCAACAGTAACAAAAACAAATAATATGGGCTGTCTTGAAGTTTATTTGCATCAGAAATACATAACAGTCTGAAGTCAAGACAGATCATGATTGTAAAAGAAGTAGTTAAAGAATTTTCGTTCAACTGTACCTATTCAGGGGAATTCAACCTGTTCATAGTGCAATCACAATCAGCATACCAAAATTAATCGCATAGATGTTAATGAGAAGACTTACAATTGAGGGGAAGAAGCCTTATTTTATTTAACATGCTAAGGATTGCGTACAAATCTGGGATTAGTGTTAGATTCTAAAACACTAAAGCTTAAAAATCAAGAAAAAGAGATTAAAATCTAGAGAATTAGAATGTGTGAATTCAGGTTAGGCAACACAATCGATTAAATTCAATCCATCAACACTATTCGATAGAATATTTTGGCTTTATAGGACTGTGATCATTTTTTACGTTGTCCAGACAATGCACTCACACTTATTCATTTAAATAAACGATTCCGTTTGCGGAAAAAAGATAATGGATATGGAGGTCACAAAAAGTGAATTTGAAGGAGAAAAACTACTGAAGTCTATGCAAACAGTACAGCTGAATGAAATATAAAAAAGGTACGCATATATGAATAACAACCACATAAGATAGGAGTAACAGAAAGAAATGTTTGGGAACGTTTTTAAGACAGATTGCCCGTCGTTTGATGTGGACACGAATAGCTGTAGTCAGTGAATTGTCAGACATTTAATTCCTGGAAAATTATTTCGAGGTTGGTGTTTTTCTGAAGAACAGATCTGATTTTGATGTACTGTACTCAAATATCTCAGTGGCAACGCAACTGACTGCAACACTGGGTAGTGCGAGTTCAAATCTCACAGGTGGCATCAGTTTCCTCAAGGTTGCAGATACACCTTGGTGACGAATGCCAACAAGCACGAAACCTAGAGGTCCATAGCTTCCTGCCGATTGTCTCCAACCAAATAACATCCGACAAAGTGCACCGCGATGCTCAACCTCCTAGCTAGGTGGCAAGATTGCAAAATGATCGACAGAAACCGGTTAGCACTCAAGACAAGGTAACATGAAGTAGGAAATGTGGACCAATGGATTCCGACCTAATGGCTCAACTGTAATGTGCTGGCTACGGACTCTGAAGGTCCTGCGTTTGATCCCTGGTGGGGTCATGGGCGCACACTGCTGAGGAGTCCCATGCTAGGATGAAACAGCTGTCCAGTAATCTCAGGTTCCCAGTATTTCTCCAAATGAAGTCAGTCCATGAGGAATACTCCCAAATTGAGCATGAGATTAGTTGCACTCCACTGACCAAACAATTTACTGTAACCTAAATTAATGATTAATTTGCTAATTTCTATTAATTTCATTACTGCAGGACTGATATTTTTAGGGGAAATCACTAAAACTCCAAAAAAATCATTGTGGAGTCATCTAAATCTGGAAGTCTATTTTTATCGTAGAGTTGTGAAATGGTGAAAATTCTCACTACTTTTCGGTAATCTGCATATACAGTGTGATATAGTTAAGTGCTATTTTGTATTAGCTGAATTACTACACATTGGGGCCGATCTAATTTCTGACATATATATATATATATATATATATATATATATATGCACAGATGTTAGCCGTTATTCAAAAAAAAGTACCTAGTTAGTCAGATAATTTGTTAGAACAGTCAATGGTAGCATTCCATTCCAACGAATTAGGTCAGAGTATTATTGAATATATAAGTATTCGCTGGGATACAACAAGTGTTAGTTCACATTGACTGCACTGTTTAAAATTTATTGCATGAATGAGTTTTGTTTACGTGCCTACAAGTAATCTATACCAGATAATGTCAAACGAATAGGTGCTATTTATGTCGTATATGAACAACATTAATGCTAAATAAACGGAAATTAAATGCAACGAATATGAAAATGCATGAGCAGTAGAAATCGAATCGAAATCTCCGATGCACAAAATTCAATACAGACATTACTTTTTCCTACTTAACTGTTACGGAAACTACTATAATAAGGTTCTGAGGGTGTCAAGATATTCGCATCTTTAAGAAAGTGTCCCCCTTCTATTGCTCTACACTGTGAACTTTAGATATTACAATGATCACTATTGTTGATGGGTCTTGGTGTGTGATTGAGAAGTCTGTCGGGTAAGAACTCGACAAACAGGAAAATATCGTCAGAAATTGGTTAAGGTCTAGTTTTTTCGTTTGCTAAGAGTGATCATCTCGTCTATAGAATAAAAGAGGAAACCTGAGAAAAATAAATGGCATACAAGCACAGAGTGGTTACCAAATACCAAAAAAGACAGTGGAATAAGATTTGAACGCAAACAAGAATATACCAAATACCTATGACCAGCATACAGAATCACTGAGTAAGTATAGTATACGGAATGTGCTTAAACCTGCATTATTGTCCCCAAAAGATATCCACATCTGGTAGACAGATATATAAAATCAATATAGAACTTCGTGCAGAAACGAATCGGATCAATTTGCCACACTTCACAGTAGAATATAAACAACAGGTGGATAGAAAAAGATTGATATCAAAGTAGACAAAGTTGTGCGAAAGAATGAACAATTTGAAGATAGCAGTTAGTGGAAATATTCAAGCTTTAGAAAACATCAAAGAGTGAATACATCTGTGCCGCTGTGATGGATTTTCATCCATGTCATCAAGAGTCCTCAACCACTGATTCCTAGTTTCGGGGCCCCAATTAGCCAGTCCATATCTATCCACACGGCTCACACCAACAGTCGGGGACTTCATCGACTGATACCACGTCTTGTTCTGGTCATCCTGAACCTTCCTACAACCTAATCTAAATTCCTCCAGCACTGCAAGTCAAGGTAGACGGTGGCTCGGCACCCCGTCCAGCCAGCAGTACGAATTCGCTCTCGGACCTCCATCACAGTGTGGCAATTCCCACCATAACGGTAAATGCTTTTCACCTTGCTACTATCAAACAGACCTTTCAGGCATGGTAGGAATTGAAGGGAACAAGCCTTCTAGTCAGTGAAGGTCGTTAGGTCATTGCGATAAATAAGCCACACCACCACGCCAAGATCGCGGATATTGGATAGGTTTGTAAGCAAACAATATTAAAGCTGATAGGCGCACCATCTTACATTCATTTCTGAAAGCACAGTGACTGTCTTGTAAAAGTTACCGTTACTGTGAATAACTGCATAAATGATAAATATTGATCAGTAGGTTAGAAGCTCTCCGTTCTGGCATTCCCTCAGTCTTAGTGAGGTTCTTTAACAGTCGTCAATCGAGTATAATTGAACAAATAAGTTGGGTATCGTAAGCAGCTATGTATTAGGTCGATGTATTCCAGTACTTACTTGCTCAACAGTCGATTCACGGTTGTCACAAACCTGACGTATGCAATAAACCTACTAAGCCAAACAAAAGGAGAATAGGTGTAAGGAATGATTGCAAACAGCATGGATAAAAAATAAGTGTGAACGTTGTTTAAAACTGTTGCAAATTTTGTTTAAATGAGTCAAAAACCAGTGCAGTGTAAGTGAAGAATAATAACCTTCATCAATTCTTCAGAAAGGTAGTCTATTTAAAGAGGTTAGTAGAACAACAGTCACACAGAGGGATAGGTCATGTTCTCATGCTACAGTCTTTGGTTAGCATTTTCCCTGTTTAGTATGGTCTGCTTTGTTCATTGCAACTGACCTACGTGTAACCATGACAACTGCAGTGAGACGAAATTTATAGCAAGACGGTGACCTTGAATCTCAATCAATATACTTTAGATGGAGACTCAACAAAACTGAGACACAATCAATTCAGTCACTTAACACAGATTACGAAAGCAACAACAAAAACAGGAAAACAAGAGCAACTTACAATAATGATACATCGCTAAATGCACTTGAATTTGTAATGAACACATTTTCACCATTCGATCTATTCGCATAAGTGCTGTGAAATGATTTCTGACAATAGTCAAGTTGTTGCGCCCATAGGAAGTGGCCAATTTCGCATAATACACATATAATTATTGATGGTATGAAACGAGAACATGTCACCAAGGCAAAACGTATACACCTCTACACATTCGTAAAGGAAAAAGCGAACAAATCAGTTCACATATGATAAAATAAGTATAACATTTGACTCATCAACAAATCTGGGTGAAATGGAGCGGTATAGTTGAGAGTTAAGTAGAAGTGCTTTGTTCATTGTCAAGAAAGTTTGGAATAACAAAAATGGATGAGATGAAGTTGAATACTACTTTCCAGATTCTTGAAAAAATCCATCTAGTTCGCTCTGATAAAGTAAGGCAATCAAGATGGAATGCCATTTCGGATGAAGTGAGATAACCTCAGTATACTGAACTGCATGAAAACCCAACTAAAGAAGACCTTAATCAGCAGATGGTACTTCAATTTGAGCATAAGATTAAGGGGAACTGGTAGCGATAAAAATCCTGATAACTCTTTGGATTATCCACAAACGATGAATTCAGAAAGAGTGAACTAGCAACGTGAACGAAACGTAGTGATAATGAGGAAGTTCTCATGCAGTTAAATATAACTAGAGAATCGAAACTCTCCGGTTACCTACAATATCTACGTTATACAACTTAAAGAAAATCCATACAGTTATAAACTAAACATCGTTAATTTCACTAAGAAGAATGAACATAATGTTTTTGTCTATAGCCAGTAAGTAACTACAATATTTTCAAGTTGAAATTGCTGGTAAATTGCTCCATCAAAAGACACCTACTGAAGAGCGATGACATATGTAGTGGATATTTTTGGTTTGATAATCTTCACCTTTACAACATTGTGTGATTAGGCGCATTGACATTCATAATTCTTATTCTTTCATCTTCCTGCATCGTAAATATATAGTAACGGTTCTTTTGAACACAAGAGCAATAATTGCTTTTCTTTTTATTCAACTAAATGTAGATATATCAGTCAGAATAGAAGTATCTCATGTTGACAGATGGCATACTTCAACTTTTTTGGAATAATTCTGTACAAATATTTACGCTCTTAGTGGCATGCATAACGAACTATGCAATATCAGTTTTCAGCAAAATCAAGAGGTGTTTGGAACATTCCCGAAAAGATGTTTTAGACAAAACCATGGTCTAAAAATTGCACGGAACCCATAATAATAACTAAGAAGTGAAATCCCACTAATACGAATGAATTATTGAATTATTAAAAATGAGAGCAAAATGTGTACAACAGACTACTTTTCACTCACCAATGACTATGAAGTTAATCGCGTAAAAACGCATTCAACATGTCAGCCAATGTTTTATGGATGTCTCTCTCTAACAGAAAATCCCAGACAATAGTTCAGCCCAACCAATCAGAGATAGTCTTGATATCAAGAAGTAACGAATTTCGGTCTGGAATACATGTGACGGTGTTGAAGTGGCCAACGGAGGGTGATTACACGATGCATGCGTCAAAGACCTGAACGAAACCAAGTCTACTTCCTGAAGATAAGTTTTCTACGCCTTTTAGTGCAGCCTTCGAATTACGATAACAGTCACTACTTTAGATACTGCTGGTAGTTAACTGACATGCTGATGATTATCACACACACTAAGGGAATCCATTTTGAAGATGGGTAAGAAATTGGCCCTCTTTCAAAGTGATGGAACACTCTCAGTTTGACATACGTTCCCAAACAATGTAGCCAGTTCCCTGGGAACAGTTTTTGTCCTCATTCTTAAAAAGAATAGCGAGTAGATTGTCTGGGTTGGGTACCTTATAACACCTCAGAACTTGGAGTTATTAACGAATCTTCGCTTCGTTAGATGGGTTGGTGTTAACCGACCATGGAGCACAAGACGTCAGGTCGGTGTATTTAGAGGTTTATCATTAGCATGATAATCGCATAGCTTTATTTTACTACAGCTAACAATTACTACAGTTAGCTGAACATAAGAATTAATAACCACATGTAACATACAGCACAATCCACTAAATGACCTTTTTTATTGTTCATGATCAACGTTCTGAAATGCTACTTTGAAATTTATACAAAATCCAATTACGTAGTATTGGATAAGTGAGAAAGACACTAATCTATTTTTCCGGTTATTGTGACTGGTTTACGGGTCATCAAACATGGTTAGATAGATCCTCTTTCCAAGGTTTTTTTAGGAAACAGTAACCATTTGTCAAAATGAAAACGGTCAGTCATTTTGCGCGCAAACGAAATACCCTATTTTGTTTAAATAAAACTTCACAATTGCTTTGCCACCCATTCAGCAACTGATGGGTTACAAGCCTAGGATGAACTGTTTCTCTTTGTCCCTTTATTAAAGTCATCAACAATTACAGCCTACTAATATTACGACGCGCAGATAAAAATAGTCATGACTTCATGCAAATTTTACTTCTTCACGTGATAGTCAGTAAACAACTCCCTACTACCAACTGAATTGACGTTTTCAACAGAATTGAATATACAAAATTGTGTTACGATAACGGAAAAAAACTTCAGGTTGACTTTTCTATACCGAATATCTATCGTTATTTTCACTAAACTTGAGTATTATTGCTAAAGGTATGGCTTGGCTTACACAGTGAGATGGACTGAGAAACCTTTTTCGTACTTTATAAACATGTTTTCATGGTGAAACAATTAAACTAGGTGTTGTAACTTCTTACATTAACAGCTGTAACACGCACGGTTCAGATAATCAGATGCCAAATGAAAAGTTTTGGAAAAACGCTATAGTTGTTTAGCAACTGATGAGCTTCTGAACTCTAAAATATCTCATAAGGGTTAGGAGTAAACAATCATCGTAGGCTGAAGATTAGGCGAGTCTGAACTCTGAAAACAGTAAAACGTAAACATCATTATAAGCACAGTACAGTCTATACAGATACATTTTATTCAGTAACTTGGTGAGTGATCTTCATTTATTAGCTCACCTTTTTAGTGAACAACTTATTACGTTTAATTGGCGGTTCACGTAACGGTTGATCTTGTTCCACACGCCTGTCAATTAAAGATAAACTTAAAGCCGGGATGACAACAAAAAGAAACCATAATACTTGACCAATACTGAAGTTTGGTTCTAAATTACAATTTGAACTGAAGCGTAACAAATTGACATTGGTTTGCATATCGGATCTACTCAAGTTATTAAATATTTCCATTGGACCAAAAACGTAAGATCGAAATGGTTGTGCAGGTAACCAAATTAATTCATTCTCATGAAGATTAGATTTCATATTCAACAAACTAACAGGTCGCGTAGGCAATCCAACAATCAATAACACTAACTGCAACAAACCAGCTGATAACGGTGTTGCAGAACTGAATATTAGGCAGTGATAAAGATTGTTGACACTGATATGAGCCTGAATAAAAACAAAAAATAAAATATTATATAAATATAAATATAAATATAAATATATATATATATATATATATATATATATATATATATATATATATATATATATATATACATATATATATATATATCCTTAGGCGTAAATCATGTTGCACGAGTGATAGTATTACCCCATTGATTAAATTCGATTATCAGAGCAGGATTTGAATTCGCAGTAGGTAGTCAGTAGACTAACCGATGAGTTCCTTCTTCAGTTATTCATTTCAATAGTTTAGGAAATATTTTCAAGTCACCAAACTTAGCGCACACGAAACAACCTTGGGATGACAATCAACATTACCATATAATCATTAGTATTGACTATAATCTACAGACTTAAGTATACATTGAGACAGAAAGTTGTGACTCACTGCTCTCTAGAAACTAGACTTCTAACTAGCGGGTCACAGGTCCGAACTCAGCTACTACTACCAAGATTTGGGTAGTCAAGTAGTTTCCTTAGGCTACACGCAATAGGAATGGCCCATTGCCAACTGTACGAAAGTGTACATTATTGCTGAGTTAATTTCGATTCCCATCATTAGTATTTACATAAATACTATTTAAGTGGTAAAGAAAAGTATTTTACACCAAATTTGTCCTATGAGAGGAAATAATAATGAAAAGAGTTTGCAGATTAAGTGATTTGGCGCATAACTGGTTGAGAACTACAAGAATTTTAATTTCGAATTATCATTTAAAACAGATGATCTTGAGTGAAATCATTACGTAGACTGAAAAACCTTTAAATCATTCCAAGTGTGACGCATAATGTAGAACGTCGTAGCTGTAAGTAACTTGTTTACTTGTGCTTCAGATGATTGCAGTAATCAGATATTTTCGGTATATTATTTTCAGTTGAACGACTCAAAGTAATAAATTTCAGACCTCAAACCAAGAAATATAGTTCGACATATGAATCATCACATCATCATATCAAAACTATTGTCAAGCGGTCAATATGCCCTTTTTTTAGCTTCGTTCTCTTGCAGTATGGATGAAATTTAGTTAAATGTTTGGTTTATCTACTCAGATGACACTTTCGAAGAACTCCAAATTATCCACGACCTACTACTCAGTAGTAATGGATATCCAGAAAAGTTTCTGATCTTCAAACCAGAGTACCGACAGCTTCCAAGAAACCGTTGCCTCTAAGACTACAGTTTCAGGGTGATATCAGCGAAATTGTGACAGCGCCTAAAAAAAGCCATAAGGCGATCATTTAATGCAGCAAAGTTATGCTGGGCATTCTACGGTCGGCCGACGATGACCTTATGAGTCAAAGACAGGCTGCCTGACTTCGCCTCTTCTACGTGGACTTACCAGTCCAACTGCTCCTATGGAGCTAGTTACATTGGAGTACAGTAAAGCAAGCCCGTCGTCAAATCACCGAACATCACCCGTCACGGCCAAGTAAAGGACAAATAAGTTCAGCACGGAACTCAGTACTCTCTCATCTGGTCGACACTGGTTATCCAGTTATTGTTCCCAAAGCCTTTAAAGTTAGTTATCATACTCTTTTTAATCTCACCTACGCTCTATGAGTTCAAAGTAGATTTATTGAAAGACAGGGTGTAGTTCATTAGAAGGAGCAGGAAGTTTTTACGCGATAACCAAAGAGAAATTAGTTTTGCTTGCAAGTTTATAAGACCCTAAGTTTCATTATCATTGAATGCGTAACTGCAGTTTAAGAAGACTGAACACAAGAACTAAGCAGCTTTCAGGTTTGAATTTGGGTATGTGGACCGAATTTCTGTTCTTTGTGAGAGTTTGGACCAAGAGTATTCTTATCTGCGCCAAACACTAACCACATTTGTTTATCTGTAGAGGAGTGACTCTATTAGCACTTGTCTTTAAGCAAAGGAGTACCTAGTAATTGCACAGCACTCCTGAAGACCCTTCCTTTGAATACTCATTCAGGGTTTATCATCGATCACTTTTTTAAATGGTTAAATCAAATGGTGTTCATCAGAGGTTCTCCTTATTCCAATTTTTATTCAACTTTATTATTATGACCTCATACACTGATTTTTTCCACATCATTCCTGAGTATAATCTACGCATATAGATGGCATAGCCATGTTGGATGACAATGCTGAGAAAATGTAAGCATCTAAACACTGCAAACGGCAGACAGAGGGTAGAATCATGAAAAAGTATATTTATGAACTGAAATCTATTTGATACTTATTTATACATTCCAGCATGAACATAGTTCTGGTTGTATCGCTCTCACCTCACTTATAGCTGATACGCTTCTCAGATGGATAATAAATTTCTACTAATTTACATTGTGTCAGACAGGCCACTAAGAAGTTATTCGCATTCTAGGTGCCGAGTGTACAGCACGCAAACTTGACATTTGTTGATTGAACTTGGTCGATAAATTGTAAGACATTGAAAAGTTACTTCATTGTTCTACCAGTATGAAAGATGCTGAATAAACTAAAGGTATTTCCGAGGTATAGTGATAACGTTATCGATAAAACGAAGGCTAGTAAAAAGTTGACCAATCTAACTCTTTTCAGCAAACTGATCAAGGAAGTAATATCTATCTACGGTAGTCTTGACTATATCATGTACGTTCACTTCTTCCAAACAAGCGTTTGACTTTATTTGTCCATAAATAAGTCAGAGTAACATTGATTTCTTCCCAAAACGTTCTAATTTCATAGAAATTCGGTAGAACTTTCCCTTTAATATCTACTAAACCTACAACTTCGAATGTGATAGTGACAACAGTAGGTCAGATTCAAAAGAGAAGCTACATCATCGTTCGCACTGTAAATCCGAACGAGCTTGATTTAAATAAAACGCTCGTTCACTGTTGAAAACACTTCGTTTTAGTGATTACAGTTGGCTTAAGAAATGAGTGACATTTACAAACAGTTCCAAAATTTAGATTCAAATTTACAATGAACGCAAAAATTTAATTTGGAGGTTTGTGGGGATTTACTGATTTCATGGTGGCACTTACCACGGACTGACATCAGTTGGAAAACCATCGAAAACCTGAGAGCACTAGAAAGCTCTTCCGTTCTTTTATGGGACTCCTTCCTCATCAGGGGTCGAGTCGAGTACCTTCAAGTATCGAGGCAAGCACGTTGCTATTGAGCAACTGAATTAAAACCCAGTCATTCACATTTTCCTACTTCTGTTAATTCGCGATGTAGAGAGACCATCATGCAGTGCCATCGTTGAGTATTCGTTCTCATATCCAACTTTTTTGAATCAATTTCGCAATTACATTTACTACAATTCTAAAATAGTGAAATGTTCTAGCAACTGAATAATAACTCGTGTTACTTTGTTATATATCTTTACTTCCAGCAGTTTACTGAATTTGTCGGTTAAACTACCATTTAAACATCAACCACGTATGACACGTTCCCCGACGCATTGTGATTTATAAGTTAAAAATTTCTATTAACTAGTAATCAGTCACTGACTTACACATAAACCGTTGTCAGGTTATCGAGGTGTAGTGGACACACCTGTTCAGATATCGCGTTTAGAGCCCATACCGCTCATTAAGACTGAATTCAGTTCATTTCATCATGGTAGTGTTGACAAAGTTCTCACTTCTCTAAACCAAGTAATGTAAAGCTTCATAAAACATAATCCTAGAAACTTGAAAAATAAACAAGCAAAAACCGTGGAGCATTTGTGTGACTAGGAAGACGAAGTCGAACTTAACGGCCAGCACTAGTAGTAAGACATATTTCTCCCGACTTAGCTGTTGTGTTTCCTCAACTAATACATCTAAAACCTGCTCTGTTCAATGAACAACGTACCTAAGTGAAGTGCTACACTTGGTGAATGCGAAATGCTGATCTGTATCTCAGCCAAAGGAATCTTCTACACCAAGGCATTTTAGTTGAATTGCTTAATTAATTTCTGACTCATACATCATATCTTTTTCAAGAAAACCTGGATATTCCACACTGACAATATCTGGTTTCTCAGTAAGTCAGTCAAAGGTAACAGCTTTACAACACGGTAGTCAAGAATAAGTAGCAATTTTACTAAGTAAACAATCTAAGATGGAATTTTTCATGGCTGGGTGACAAATAAAATGTCTGACTTGCGCATTTTTATTTATTATTTTTATAATAATTTGAAGCAAAGCAAATTTTCTGTACTGTGTAGATTCATCATGGTATCAGCGAAACATTGCTATGTACATAGTAAGTCGATAGATAAATCTCATAGGAAAACGGACTTCAAGTTAGAATTAAGTAGATAATAACTTATTGGCCTAGTGACTCCCAGGTTCAAACTCTCCTCAATGTAAATAGGCCTGAATAACTAACTGCATAGTATCATAGAATATTCATACATTAGATGAAAATAGTTTACTGTATAAAAATGTACCAGGTTGCTGAATGACAGATATTTCTACAAACGGCTTTATTTTCATCTCCTGGTTAGCATAATACAGATGCATAGCGTTATTTCGGTCTTAAATGATTGCAAATATTTGGAGGAAGTCTTGAATCCAGTTATTTGGCGCTTTTAAAATTTTCTGATCAAATGTCGACATGGGCATCATCACTAGTAGGTGCATAACTGGCGACAAAAGTCAATATATGTTATCCATCCAGTATAGAATACAGTCAAGTTACATGATTTAGTCATCGAATCGCAAGTATGAAAAATCAAATTCGGTCAATAACAATAAAAACGGGAAAACATGGTATTAATCAATAGTTATTTAAGATGATTTGCAGAGTTTCTCGCTAAGCGTATCTTGATGAGAATCGATTACCATGTCAACAGATAGTCCATTCAATTCAAACAGGCTACTACATTGTTCACTTACCTCTACAATGAGATCATAAACACGAAATCCTTCTTTCTCCATATCCAGTAAACAGGGTGTAACCAAATGGATGAGATGTGCAGCAATATCAAACATACTCACACCAGTAGAACTATTTTTTTGACTGGTGAAATCGAAATGGCTTTTTGAGCAATGATATTCTTTTGGCTAAAAATAAGTTTTGCAGTAATTAAAAAAAATAATGTGGGAGTTAAACCTTGGGAGGTTAGCAAACAACAGTACACAACAAAGAAAATTCAACAGGTAACTAGACAATAGAGAAATTTTTGATGTTGGTAACGATGATCGCCAACACACTACCAACCAATTACATTTTTTTATTTTGGTGGTAGAGGTGATTTTTTCGAAAAATAAGGAAATTTTACTTGATAACAAAGTAACTGCTGAGAAGCCCTTGAAAGTCACTAGTTGAACTCAGATTCATGATTATGATTATTACATAGAAGGCTGCTGAACACAACTCACCACTTTGTATTATTAATGAAATGTTTCTTAAAAGGTGATCATATTTTTCAAAGAAACGTACAAATCATTGGTGTAATTTACCTGTTTAAAAGCAATTATGAAATTGACGAAGCTTGATAAATAATAGGATTTCAATGAGGGCTCATTTTATTCACCTCAAAGCTTCTTACAGTCAAGTTCAAAGTGTTTGTAAAGCAATTTATATAGGACAATCCTATGAGAACAGAATGACATGAGAGATATATCTACGTAAATTCTGAAAAGTTGGAAGAGGGAATTTAAGCGAATATGTATTTTCGGTAAATTGTCGTCAAACTTTACAATTACATTCAGAGATTGCTCAACATAGACATCTGATTAATTGATAGAATTGAAATACATCAGTTAGAGGAAAACAATAAAGGTGATAACCACCATAATAAAATCTTGCTAGAGTTTGTAGAGTCTGAGTAGTTAATTATTCTAGATGCATGAGTCGATTGCCTTTCTAATTTAACAACAGAATTTACTGTTGGATAGAAAACATGGTAATCGATACATCTTTAGGTCCTTTTCCAGGCGACACGGTAAAAATGGATCACTCTGTCTAGCCCAACAAATAAACTATCCGTTCATTGCGGAGAAACGAATGACAAATTCATTCTGTGCAAACCATCAAATGGTAACGCAGAAAAGATTCTATCTAATTTCAGATGTCTAAAGGAAATGCAGTAGCAAAACTATAAACCTGAAGACACAAAAACCTGGGCGAGAATTCTCCTCATCGCAACACTATTTTTGAAACTTTCTACTCGTTGTATGGTGTTAATTAAGTTGAAGGATAGGCTACCGCATCTTGCTAGATATAAGTGTACTTACAAATCGAATTGCTTCTATAAAATTAGTCACATACGTAGAACAGCCTGGTAAACCCATAATTTCTTTACTAAACACTGCCCAGAGTGGGTAGGTAAGAAAAAGTAGGGTCTATCAAAACCCTACTATGCGACCATCAACTGGATAATAAGCTTAAGATTGATAAAACCGTTCTATACAAAACGCCAGCGGAATCACAAGCTTTTACGCGTCTGATTACCAAGCATAGCATAGATCATAGCAATTAAAATCTTCAAATTTAATCGATGTATACAAAATGTGTTTGTTTGACTTTTCTCTCTCTCCTATAGCCTTCACCTTCAACCCCGATACAAGAAATTTCCTTGTTGGTCAAAAGGAATGAATGTAAAACTTATCTTCTTTGAACTGTTGTCGTTATCGAAACCAGTAAACCACATCCGACTTTAAATTTGATGTTTAGACCTCAGTTTCCTGATCTATCAGATACTTAACCACTTTACTATCCAATCGCTATGCGACAATAATTTGTTTCTACACACATTTGCAACCCACTCATATATTTATAATGATTGACTAGTAAGACTAGATATGCTCTTGCAAGATTTTATTATTGTGATCATCATGAGTGAAATTAAGACCTGATCAGCAGCTAGGTCTCGGAGCTCAGTTGGTATAGCACCAGACCGGTAACCCAGAGGCCATTGGTTCCAGGTCCCGTCGCAACCCCGATTTTCATCTCAACTTCAATCATCACCCAATATCAATCTGCCAAGCCGCGACTATCTCAGATAAGCACACCGATTAACACGTTAATCGTTACGCACTAATGCATGCAACCTAATTATATTACCCTTAATAGTGTCAGGTGTCTACATTGAATGCAATTGTAAGGCTTGACAAGAATTTACTGAGTTTGTGTATATCTTAAACTGTGTTTACCAATAATTACAATGAAAATATTTTAGTATGAAAAGTGTTTGTATGAGTTCGTACGACTTAATCAAACTCTTCAATTTTGATCACATCACTGTGGTTACATATGAACCTAAACGAAATACACAATAAAATGTTCCAGTAGGGGTAGTCAAGATGTAGCTATCGAAATAAAAATTCAAAGTCATCTACCTTAGACTAAAAATTATTTGTGCTCACAACTATTAGGAACAAAATTATATGAAGTCACTTCGGAGATTTCATCATCAGCTGTTGACAGACCTGAAAACCGAAATATATGAACGAAATAATTATATATTCCCATCAAATATATGGAGAAATATTGGTAGGCAGAGGAGATAACATCATTTATGTCACCAATACCAGCGTTTAGTGGATGAACAAATAACAGAAAGGTATGGAATTATGAATAACTTTTCAGGTTGTCACGCTAGTATTTCTACATAAAATAAACGCTTCTCTAAGGTATGCATGGATATATACAAACCGAATCACGCACAAAACAAGTACACTTCATGATATTGTATTCATCTTGGTGACTCCCAATAGAATTCAGAACGCCCGTTTCGTCCTATTTGGGACTCGTCAACCGTGTGTACCTGCATCCCAGTGAGTGACATTGTTCCTACTGAGACTAGAACTCAGTACCCATCGTTTCAAACGCCAAGGCGCACTGTGCACTGGGTTTGAGTCCCAATGGGAACAACACCACCTGGGGTGCAGGTACACCCAACTGATGATTCCAAACAGGACGAAATGCGCATCCCGGATTCCACTGCTAGTCACCAAGATGCATAATAACATCATGAATATCCGGAAGTATCGAGGCATCCGCATAGGAATCCATGTGCCAACAGTGGTCGAACAATTTGATCCTGTATAGTAACGAGAAATTATATGTATCAAACAACAAGTGCACTTCACTGTTAAAATTTCTTTGGTAGTACCGCTGGACAGTCCGTTCTCTGTACACATGAAGTTGATTTTCAAAGAACGAACGTGTTAACTACACTACTTCAAAGCAGTCTGCTAAGAAGGTTGCTGGCAATTTTTGTATGGTAGTCAGTTACATAATATTGACATTTAATCATTGTTTTTCTTCATTCTCTCGCTAACTTCTCTTCACCGCTTTCAGGGTGTAATTTTTAGTAAATTCACGTGATGATCTTAATCCGACGAGACTTATGTAACTTATAAAACCAATTTCCCGTTTCTGAGAACATTTATTCTTCCCTTCTATTATAAATCGCATGTTATATTGTACCATAAGATGGCGCAGATCTTCATAAGAAGTCCGAAATCCCTGAAGCTTTACAGAACCAAAGTTATTGTTCATGTATCCACTCTCCTATATATAAGTCAGTAAGGCGGCCTGCTTAAATTTTGGGTCACTAAAAACTTACCACAGATTATATTCCATCAAATTCTTCCTTTTTAGTTTGTTTTAATCTTTTAAATGTCTTTTGAACGCATTATGTACTCTTGCACCTTTTTAAAATGTTTTCGACCTTTTATTTCTCAAACTAAGAACAAAGCGAAGGAAAAACTTTAAGCCAGCTGCAAATGGATTTGTAAATGCTCAGAAATACACCACATTACTATTCCTAGGATACATGTATGGGATTGTGAATTTCTGTACTGGTTGACTGAACTGCCACCATCAAAATTACACTCGATTTTGTATTAATTTTGGAATCAAGAACAGATACTAGAGTAAAACTACCTGTCCGTTTTACACTTATGCCTTCAATACTGTTATTATTAACACTATGCAGACGTAATAATTATTTCTTTTAAAAATGTACGGAAAGCGAATTCGTTGAAATATTCCATGCTAAAAATTCTATACTGTACTGTTTCGAATAAAGCGAGTATTATTATTATTATCCTTTATGGATTCACAGGCCTCATAATAATAAACTGTATGCAAACTATGGTGACGACATAGTAAACACACTGTTTCAAAATTAACTCATTCAATGAATGACGATATCCACCATGTCCAAACACACGCTATCTCACCACACAACTACTCACAAAGCATCTCCATCGTATGCGATAAATCCTACGTAGAAAACGCTCACAAAACACGTACAGTAGTCGCAAATCCTCAGCTCACAGAGTCTACATCACATAGGAGGAGAGAACTACACTCACCCAAATCTTGCCTTGTATACTCAACCTTGTCCAGACGGACTAACGCAATGACGATGACAGATTAATGTATGCTACTCTCATTTTCGATACACGCTACGAAATCTCGTGAGTCTTACTTCGACAACATCAAAATCAACACAACAACTCAGATACACAAGTCTTTCGACAACTTTAAACATTTCACAATCATGAATGAGTGCATGTACACATCTATCAACCTTCTGAAAGCACTTTGCACTTCCATGGCATACAAAACACTTACCATTCTCATGTACACTTATCACTAACTGATTACGTGATCCGATTAGCTTGGATTTTGTCGCATAGTGAAACGATATCATCGGCATACTCAAGATCGAAAAGTCTCTCACCAGCCAGAAGATCTATACAACCACAATCATCATCATCATCATGCAATTCCTTCAGATTTGTTTGAAGAATGTCAGCGATGGAAAAGTTAGAAAAGAAGGGAAATTCGGAAACTCTCCCTAGCCCCAGCATTGGTTTTAGAAAATGAAGGTGACTTAGTACCCTCACGGAATCTCAGGTGTCTTTTCTGGGGTATTCAACGTGTCAACAAACGTTTCACGGACAACCCTCTCTAACAGATAGTTCCAAATAATAGTCCAGTCAGTCAAAGAGTCTTGGTATCAAGAAACAACGAATCTGATTAATGTAAGTGTAGAACTTGAGCACTGTGGCAGAATTCGACTCCATATTATAGATTATTATTATTATAAATCAAATTGACAAATCTAATATGGAACAACAAATTTTAGCCTGGAATGCATATGATAGCGCTGCAGTTTCCAGCGGAAGATCAATACGTGATGAATGCATCAATAACCTGAACCAAATAAAGCCTGATCCTTGAAGATCAGTTTCCCCACGCTTATAGTGGAGCATGCGAATTATCATAGCAGTCAATACTTTAGATGTTGCTGATAGCGAACTGATTCTCTTATGGTTATAGCATACTTTAAGTGAGCTCCGTTTCTGAGTGATGGAACACTCTTAGTCTGTCATACCTTTGTAAATAATGTAGTCAGTTCCCTGAATAGTAGGGACGAATTTCACTGTTTAGCAGACCAAGTTGTATACGGTGGAATACAGTTAAAGCACTAAAATATTGTTTCAAATGATCATGTTTATGTCACGATTTTAAATGTGGGATATCAATAATAATAAAAATCAACTTTCGATGACCATACAAACTCACTTGTTTACAACTATTCAATCCATTATTTGCAAATTCACATGGTGAATATGGTAGAATAGGTTTAACAGCTATGGCTACATCACTGTGCATAAATAAGGCGTAATTGGTCAATGAATAACAGCTTCCAACTAGGCAAACAGTGTCACCATATTCTTGCATTATCCTCACCATTTCACCAATGGCTATGAACAAAGGTAAATAAGTGATGCATATTAGCGTGGACCTTCCTCACAGTTAACTATTATTTCATATAATTTATGCTTAAAGAATATACCACATATAATTAAAAGTTTAAGCAACATCTGCTTCAGGCTGGCTAACGAACTACTGGATCAGGCTGATGTCTAGGTTCGTTTTGAGATATTTTGAATACATTTAGTTGACCGTGTTATAATGACATTTTAGTGTTGAGAAGCATTTCAATGCAAAATACGTTTTCAATTATATTCGAGACAGCTGAAAATGCTGCTACCTATGAGGTAATGCTGTCCGTAAAGACTAAAACTTAGTAACCAGTATTAGGGTGATAACTGCTAGGCTAAAACCACTGACCTTAACTCTTTGTGCTGTAGTGGTTACTAGTGGCTCTGATGTTTGAAGTTAACAGTGCTTGTTTTGAATACTTAAAGGAAATATACACTAAAGATAATGTGAATACAGTCAACTATTAAAATTGAAACAATGGGAGGAATTGGAGTTGTACTTGTTAGTTGGTTGGTGGCAATCGGCAGGAAGCCCTGGACCTAGGTTTCGTGCTTTTTGGCACTCGTCAGCAAGGCGTATCTGCAACCTCGACGGAACTGATGTCCCGCCTCAGATTCGAACCCGCGTCACCCATTGTAGTCGGCGACTTTACCACTGAGGTATTCGGGCTGCGATTGACCTCATATAGGACTGGCTTACATGTATTGATTGGTCACGGGAGTGCAACCAATTTCATGTTGTCTGGTTCTGAGTGCAGATCGAACCCGCGTCAAATCTGAGGCGGGACATCAGTTCCGTCGAGGTTGCAGATACGCCTTGCTGACGAGTGCCAAAAGCACGAAACCTAGGTCCAGGGCTTCCTGCCGATTGCCTCCAACCAAATAACATCTACTAATGTGCACCACGATGCTGAGCTTCCTAGCTTGGTTGCCACATTGCAAATATGATCGATAGGATTCGGTCTGCTCTCAGGACTATACAACATGGAATTGGTTGCACTCCCATGACCAATCAATACAGAGTTGTACTTATCAATGAAATAAACAATTTGATCTGTTCAGAGTGAGTTATACTGATTGCTAGGAATTCAGTCGGCCAACGTTCCAATGTCATCCTATGTATCATCAGTGCATCAAAGTTTCACAAGGATATGAAGTAATCGGTTGTATGTTGCGATTCATAACGTGAAACTCTGCCTGAGTCTAATCTGATTGGTCATTTGGTTAGTGTGGGTGTGCACCAGAACTGATTGGCTGGCTTTTTCCTTTCAGTTTTCCCAAAGGGGTGTGCAGCTGTGTGATTGGTTGACTGTTTGATTAAAGCGCTAACCAACAACATCGATATGACCTCAGTGTGGTACAAATAAAGAAACAAAGTCAACCAATGATAAATTTACGCTCTCCTCTGAGAAAACTAAGATGAAAAAATCGTGCAATCAGGTTCAAAATACACCCATACACTCACCAAGTGACTGTCTAAGTTAGACTGAGACAGAGTAGCATGTTATAAATACCAACCAATGTACAACTAATTACTTTATTTCCCTTATGAAGCTCTGACGCACTGATGACGGTGTACAGCATAACATTGAAACGTTTGCAAAATAAAAACCCTAGCCCACAGAACAACTCAACCTTAACAAACGCTGAGCTACATTTCACCATCATCAATATTAACGTAGGTTGAGGCATTACTGCTATATCTCATATCAGTTCATGAAGTTACAAGCAATCAGATGAAACAAAAATGAAAAGTCGGTTAAAAGCAGTAAAAAAGAGCGGAGAGGGATGAGAAAATGCTGAATTCAGTATAGTTATTAAGATTAAGGTAATGTATGGAGACATCCACTCCAGTGACATCGATTTGCAGTCATATTACATAGTCTGCAAATACAGGTTTTTGCTGTCACACGGACCCTTCTATCTCCCTCTCTACATAGTTCAGACCAACAGTTAAAGACTTCATGTACTGATTCTATGCTTAATTCTGTCAACCCCGAGCCTTTTCCCTGCCTGAACCTGCTTCAGCTAACATTGTGTCACGAGGCAGACAAAGACTATCTTAGTGGATGAAGGTTCACGACCACACCAACTAACTTTCCTCTTCCCCGTAGAACTCTATACCTGACTTCTGTGTTACTGAAGTAGTGACACCACAAGACACACATGGCCTATGTTACGGAGGCAATGGTAGTAAAACACCTGAGGTCTCCTCATGTCCTTCACCTTTAATAGCTATGTTTCACAGCCATACAGCAGAAAAGAGTGAATTGCAGCGCAATACACTCGATACTTAATAGACAATCGGATATCATGGAACTCAATCAGAGGTGGAAGCCAGTCAAGCCCAAAGTATCCGCGCAGAGATTTCATCGGCTACTGACCCAACAGAGTTGATCCGACCTCTCGGGTAGGTGAAGTGTACGATGCAATTTTCGACAATTTGATCTGTATTTGAAATAAGAAAAATTTCATTCTCTGCAATATTGGTAAAATACATTCAGGAATAAGCAAAGTAGTAGAAACATTAGGCAACTATTAAAACAGGCTAGTATACTATAGAAAATATAACTTAAAAATAATAGCAGTTGCATAACATAAACTAACTTACCTTTAGGTGAACAGTCAGTAAACAAAGACACTTGTAGGGGAACATTATCAACATTTTCTAAATGTGGACGAATGCCTTCAATTCCGTATGGAAGTCGAGACTGTAAAAGTCAGAAATAAGTTTATCGGAATATATGTATAGAAGAAACACTTACATTTCTGAGAACAGAAAGTTATTAGAAACGATTGATACAGTAAACCCAACAGGAACATTAATGTGAAGGTATACCCAGTTTAGACAGTGTTGATATGAGCTGTGATGGAGAATGTAGACTCCCAGATTGGGATTCACACGACAACCTAGATGGACGACTGAAGACCGTACGTAACATAGCTCATATTCGGTCGTCGTGAAAATGTATTAACATCTTATCTCCATTTTAGTCGCTATACTATACTTTTTCATTTGCTTTCATTCCTCTTCTTATAACTTTCAATAATAATTACTTTAATTTCTTTAACTTTTATAGAATGATGTATCACCTTGAAGGACTGATATGAAGAGTGATAAAACAAACAAAGAGACAGATAAAATGAACGTAGGACCTCGTCCACATGCGGATCGGTTCAAGTTGCCACACTTCACAATCGAATATAGGAAGTTATTTTCCTTCTTCATTGTGGTCAGAGCTCACTGGAATCAGTCTTCTGGCATCAGTCAGTTCGGATGATGTTGCGGAAATCGAATCGCACTTGCTGACATTCAGGTGTAGATTACCAACTGTTTCTAAAGCAAACTGAATATCATGTTGTTTCCTCAGGATGAGAATTGATGTCAAATTCCCCCCCAAATACGTACTTGGCGTTCTCCTCTTCTACTCGAGAATAGACAGGCTTTACTACCACCTGTTTCCTGAAACCAGTAAGGCGCAGCCATACACTAGCCCGCACTAGCGAGTGATCGGAGTCCAGATTGGTACTCCAGAAAGAGCGGCAATCCTCCAAGGATGGTTAATGGCAATATGATCTATCTATGTCTATCGTTTTTTTCATGTCAGCCGATAACATATGAGACAGTGTTTCTCTTTCCTTATGCTTGAAGTTAATAATGTCCAGAAACAGGTGACTGTCAGAACAAAACTTCAACAAATGATCGCCGTTGTCAGTTCGTTGACATGGGATTCCGTAAACACTTCCAAGATGCCTTTCCGATTGGCTCAGCTACTCTAATTGAGCATTAAAGTCACCTGCCATTATGACTACATTTTAACATTTTGTTTTGTGTAGCAAAATAGATAGCTTTTTATGGACTTCATCCTTTGTATTATCCGAACTGCAGTCGGTGAGTGCGTAGGCGGAGATCATGAATAGGCAACACCTGTCTTACGATCCTTCCTATTTTTTTACAAATCCATTCAGTTAACTGGTATCCAGTCGCGAAGCACATTCTCTGTCCTACAGCTGAATGCTACGCTTACACCGGCGTGTTCAAGAGAGTTAGCCACTGGGTCTTCGGATACTCTTAAGGTGAATTTTGAAGATCCACTACTATAGTCAGGTTAGGTTAATTTAACAACCACATTTGGACCCTGTGATGTGTATCAGAGACACAGCATACATCCACGGCTAGAGATTCCAGAGTTCTGACGAGCGATGCTTGTTGTTCGATTTGGTAGAGAGTTTGGATGTCGTAAGCTCCTACGTGAAATCGATGGTGAGGTCTTTGGAGACTGGGAATGAGGTACCAATGGTTATGATAGTTCGCAATGGTCGCAGAGTGAGAGGTTAGTGAAGGCATAAGAGGCTTAATATTAGTATCTAGAGGTGAAAGTAAGGGAGGAAAAAGATTTGAAGAGGGTAGATTATGTTTAGTTGGCCCTTGTGTACTACTAGAAGCGTGCAGGCGGTTAACACTAGCCGGCCGCCCAAACTGTAGACAGTTAGTTCCTCTTGAGGCGCAGCAGCTCGGAATATTGGGTAGTAATACTAGATCTTATCTTGATACCGACTAACTGAATGGCATACTTATATCTTTTGGCAGTTTTTGTATGAAATCATATGAAGCAAGAAAACATATAGCATAAGTGAACAGTAAAAAATAGAATATTGACCGTTTTCAGAATTAGTGCTCAGAGAATTTCACTGGCTAACTGGTTATTTGATGTAGCCAGAAGATGATACATTCATTAATAAATTAAAAAGATGTTATTCCAAAGGTATTTATGAAGCGGATTACACCATACATGAAACGTGGAGTTGTGGTTCATTGGTTTAAGAAAGAAAGAAAGTAACTTTTAACCAGTGGGTCACGTGATTCAAACTCCGCTCCACCAAAACAAGTTTAGGCAACCAGGTAGTGTCATTAGCCCTAACATAAGAAGTGTGGCTAATTGCTTTCTGCGTGGAAAAACACAGGGCTGATAAGTGCGCTTCTGTTTCTCGTTTCATATATAAATAAGATTACTAGACCAACTAACCACAACTAACTGTGAAACGATGGGTATAAATGAGGTTTCTATTAGGGCATTCTTATTACTCTCATCGTCTAGAAGTTTTCGTCGAATAGAAAAGATAGTTAGTTGAGTAATATTAACGCTTAATTTCCATGGAAATGTATAGCATATTACAATGTGGTCTTTTGATGAATAAAATGGTATTATTGTTGCGACTTGATGAGGGAATTGGTGAGTTTACTATTTCATTTCCAACTCAACTCAGCAAATAATGAACAGGATAGAAACTCTTGAATTGACGAAGTTTACTTTGACGGAGAAGAATGTTATGTGACCAGTAAACTAAGTGAGCCAAAATCATGATGTGACCTGATAGATGCCCCGAAACAATAAATGTATACCTCTACATATTGGTCTTCAACTTGCTAATACTTATTAGAATCATATTTGCCTAATACTGAAGGTTTAACTGACGATATACACCTTAAGTTGGTATTCACCACAGAAAGAAATTAGTTGGAGAATATTGAAAACCTGAGAGCACTTAACAGCTGTTTCGTCCTAGTACGGGACTCCTCAGCAGTGCACACCCATGACCTAGCATTAGCGGATGAAAATTGAACAGCATGAGACTATCATCAAGTTTCTTTAATAAATAACATTTGATAGTTGATCCTATCCCAATACGCGCCAATCACCATTTAAATACCCAAGTGGGGTACACAATGTTGGATCTCAATATCAAAGAATTAGAGTAAGTTCCAATCAAGTTTAAGAAACGCCTTTTGATGTCTGAGAAAGAATGCACAAAATACCAGACCATGACTCCAAACCAATTATACTTTTAGTAAACTACTTATCGCTTCTAACAAATAATTAGAGACTCACTTTGTTTCCAATTAATAATTCTGATATTTTCCTATCTTCTGAATTACTACTTTGTTCACCTGCTGACTGTGACACAGAACTAGTAGAAGTAGTTGAAGAAGAAAGATGACAGGAACCAGAGGATGATTCTATTAGGTCGTTTTCTTTTGAATAAAACAGTTGTGAGTCGACTAATGATATCGAATGACGTAAACTGGTGTTAACATTATCAACATGAGACTTTTGTAAATCTGATTCCGGCTGTTGGGTTTTCGTACCTATCTGTGAAAGCTTTGGACATGTGGGAGATGATGATTTAGCGTAGTTACCTTTGCCAGATTTAGAAGTTGATACTTCTTCATCACTTTCAACTATTCGAAGGAGATTTGAGTCAGAAATTGAAGTCAACCTTTTTGAAGTCTATAAAATAAAAGCACGTGTTTCATTTTTACTTTATTCCAAATAACTTGTGGTACAATTTAAAATTCTCAGCATGATATACTGCAACAATATATATATATATATATATATATATATATATATATATATATATATATATATAAACTCCTATACAACATTTCGATCAACCACAGTTTTAATCAGCTGGGCCAGAGGTGCTACCACCTACAGTCCTGGTGGTTTTCAAAGCTCTACGCAACAAAACATAGTCCTTTTTTAAAAGACCAGGAAAAATTATTAGTGAACAATTTAGAAGAATAGGAAAATTTTGCAGGAATTAGTAAATTGTAGAAGAGGTAGAGTTATACCAGAGAGCTCCAGGTTATTACGCAACAAGTTAAACAAAAGATTTTTTTACAAGTAAACAAGATATGAGACGACCAACAAAGGTCAGAAGTAAACCTCAACCCAAGATATTTAATATTCGATTTACTTTCTGCAGAAATACCATCAATACAATAGACGTCATGAGACTCACACAAGTCTTATTCACGCCTGGGGCTAAAATTAACAGAATGACATATAGAAGGGTTTAACCTCGACTAGGTAACTAGTTCACTAGTTACTAGCTGGTCCAAAGCCCTGATAAAGAGGGAAGGTTAGGCATACAGCTAGCAACCCTACCAAGTAAAACCAATCCAATCGCTGGAGAAACTTCAAAGCACTGAAAAAATAGAAGGAATAAAAGTAAACTTATTCCTTGCTGGAATCGGAAAGATGAAATGATGCCGGTTGATGAAAGCCTTCGAGAAGCCAGTTGGCCGATGTCTTCTCTCCTCTTGATGAATGCGAAAGGGACATGAAATGTCCGAACAATGTTTGAAACTGGCTAGGAAGGCTTCCCAGATTGCGAATGAGATGAGAAGGTATAGCATAGAAGTGCTAGGAATCTGCAAGGTAACTGCAGATGGAATGGAAGTGGACTCTCCAAACTCTTAACTAGAAAGCCAATAATCTACTCCGATATTGTCACCCAGATGACAACCACGAGCACACTGAGTTTTCGAGTGGCTATCAGGATGTTCCCAACAGCATCCAAGGCTCTCATGCAGTGGGAGCCAATCTCCTCCAGGATCACGATCGCAAGACTCAAATCAAAAGGAAGGAAAGTCACAATCATACAATGCTACGCTACCCTACGCACTTACAAATAATGCAGATCAAGGGAAGAAGGAGAAATTCCATAAACAACTGCAATTAGTACTGGACAAGTTCCCATCCCAAATGGCGACATCAAAATTCTAATGGGTAGGGTGACATGAATGGGAAACTGGGAGCAGATGACACAGGAAGAGAACTAATCATGGGTCGAGAAGCACTCGGTGAAATGAAGAATGAGAATGGGGAACTGTTTGCAGACTTCTGCACATTTAATGGTTTGGTGATTAAACGCGAGGAAGCGTGTCTAAACAAAAGGATACTCACAAAGCAATACAAATTTCACCAGACACCAGGACACAAAAATCATATAGACTTCATCTCAATGTGAAGAAAGTGGAGACGCAGCCAGTCAACTAGACACAAAATCAAGAATGGGGGGCAGATGTATGCTCACACCACTCACCATCCAGTGAAAGAAACCTACATTCGAAATCAAGTTGAAAGCCTTCAAAGAACCTGGTGATAGACCACGTTTCAAGTTCAACACACAGAACAGAAACTGAACTGAAGGACGAAACTACAAACAACATCACGTCGTCAGCCACCCAGACAATATGGGAGACATTGAGCAACATCCCTGAAGAAACCTGTGTGGAAGAACACTGGAACTCTCTGAAAGATATGTGGAAAGAAACTTGCATAACCGTGTTAGGAAGGAAGAAAGAAGATGCGAGACAAGGAATGGGTCTCCACGGACAAATGGAAGCTGATAGAGGAGCGAGAGGAAGATGGTGAAGCAGAAGATGAACCAGTGCATTGCATTACATTGCAGTGCAGTGCGGGGATGAACAACGAAAAGAGGAATTGAACACAACATATAAAACACTACACTGGACAAAGAAGTGAAGAAGAGTGCGCGTAGAGACAAAAGATATTTTTATGACACACTGGCAAGTGAAGTAGAACAGGCTGCAGGTAGGAGAGACAGAGACATGACAACATTATATCAAATAAGCAGCTTATTATCTGGGAGGGAAGAGATCAACGCAGGATAGATGAAACCAATGCAAGATAGTGAAGGAAACCTAGTTACCAAAGAAGAGAAACAAAAGAAACAATGGGCTGACCATTTCGAAAAGGTCTTGAGTCGACCACCACCACCATCACCACCACCTGCAACTCGTCCAGAAACACTAGTAGCCTAGCCACAGAACAATCAGTAAAAACAAATGTCTTCCAACAAAAGCAGAAGTGGAGTCCTGGACTCCATACAGTTGTTGAAATCCAGCTATGCAGCAGGACCAGATGGAATTCCACCAGAAACAATGAAAACACACGCACAGACAACAGCAGACATGCTCACACCACTATTGCAGAAGGTTTGGAAGGAGTGAAGGGTGACTGGCGATTGGGAGAAGGGCTATCTTGCCAAACTCTCGAAGGAGGAAGACCTAAGTGTTTGAAAGAACTGGCGAGGAATCATCAACCTGACCACTCCAAGCAGAATATCAAACCGCATCATCCTGGAGCGACTAAGACATGTGCTGAATTGAAAATTATGATCGGAACAGGATAGCTGGATTCAGGAAGAACAAATCATGTGCAGATCAAATTGCAACGCTACGCTACGCATTCTCATACAACAGAGCATCGAATGGCAGTCAACTCAACTCAACCTCAACTTCATCGACTTTGAAAAGGCCTTCGACAGAGTCGACTGAGAAGTAATTTGTCAGGCAGTTGCTTCAACACTATGATTATATTGCCACAGACCTTTATCAACCTCATTCAACAGCTATGTGCTACATGATGCCACATGCCAAGTGACTCACAATGGAAAGCTCAGTGATGACTTTGAAGTGAAGATAAGAAGGAAGAAATGAAAACTTATGGGTAGTCGTAGAGCCAGCTTCAAGAGATTGCAGAGAACAGAGTGAAATGGCGTAGCGCTACTGAAGCCCATGTTCCACTAGAAACCCAAAGGACAAATAATAATAATTTAGAGGAGTTTAACTTGAGACCATTGGTCACCAAGAGACGAGAATCCGTTTAATTTAGAGCAACTTAAATGAGAGTTAACTGGAATAGACACCGTCAGGATATCAGTATACTTTGTAAAATTAGTTTCAGCAGAATAAGGTAAGTCATGCAAAAAGAACGAAAACAGATAAGGAGAAAGTGTAGCACCTTGAGGCACACTAGCTTCAGTAAGCAGTGAAGTGGAGCTTTTCTTGATAGATGGTATGCTGTTTTCTTTCAGAAAATTAAGAATACAGCCAGCCAATTTGTAACCCATGGCTCAGTATGAGCTATGGCAAGCTTATTTAACAAGAGTGGTCTGGGAGAGTCATCATTATTATTTTTCCCTTGGGTTCCTAGTGGAACATCGAGCTTCAGTAGCGCGAGGTTAAGTAATCCAAGAAGGCGTAACGAACGACGACTGAACACCAACAACTACTTAATTTCCTCAAATACACAGAAATAGTAGTCGAGAATATAACAACACGAAGGAAAACCTTAGTAACTGTGTTGATCAACTCCATTAACCATCTTATCCATAGCCAAAGCAAATGAAACACCATTCGATTCAATTTACACAACTACGAAGAATACAAGAAAGGAACTCATTAGTAGAGAAAAAAGAGATTTTTAGAGAATGTATTGGATTACTACTAATGATTGAACCAAATTACTATTACGCGTCCTGAACTAGTGAATTTTACCCTTCAAAGGATATAATACTTTTCATATGATTCAAACTTAAAACTATTATATATTGTAGCAGGACTTCCGTTGATTGTTCAGAAATATAATTACTTCGAAGCAATTATGCCTGAAGTGATTGAATAACAACTACTTTTAATCGCAAAATTAAAAACGCTTCGAACCCTATGGAAAATGCTACCCTGGTTTCACAAACAAATATGTTGAGTGTTACACAGGTGATTTCATTTTATGTCGAGACTAATATTAGTCTACGCATTCTGTAATCCACAATCGCCAACCAGAATATTTACTCTGCGTCCAGATCTTCTCTTTCTCTTCCTGTGGCTTTGTTTTAATTTATCCACAGCTAGAACCATCGCTTAACTGTTCGATTCCAAATTGTGGTGAGTTAGCCTTTTTCCCATCATATAATGAGTGTAATGAGTGTGGCACTAGGCTAAATATGTTTTGGGTTATCACCTCGATTAGTGAACGGCCTTTTGTGCTCAGAAGTTTCAGCAACTCAAAAGAATGGTCAAAGAAGTAGCGGTTATCAATCACAAGATACTTTCATTCATGGTTCCCAGTCAGTGGTTTTACTGCTGAAATGTGATCACCAACAGATGTATGTATAAAATCAAACAACTAGTCGTCATACCATATAACCTTCAAAAGATTATGAATTTTTCATCAATCTTTCGGACTGCATATAAAAAACATAACCAAACAGTTTAAGGTTTTGAAATAGTGGAGAATATTTGTACCTCAGGTGGATGGTCTTGGTTTTATTGTGTTCTCTGAGCTCAGAGAACACAATACAACCAAGTTTAAGGTTTTCATGCAGTTCACTTAGAAAACCGTTTTTATACAATCACTTGCCAAGTATCAATCCAGTCAAGAGTTAACATGATTTTGGTTAATCATTCAGCTTACTTCACAAATTCCATGCTTGACAGAAGTCGCATAGATTTGCTTACATGCAAGGTCGAAAATAATGTACCACCTTGATTATCCCAAAATTTGCGATGAGTTCCAGATACTGAACACACTCAACTATTGCGATTATTCATAAAATGTTAATGTAGTCGTTAGAGTTCCATACTATTATCTCATTATATTATTAAGTTACGTTACAACAGTTGTAATATATTATGGACTAGGGGTATAATCTTATTTATCTAACTCGAATTTATCGTATTCAATGCAGTAAGGTAACGGTAGCAACTACTTGATTCGAAGTGAACGCTATGGTCTGTGCAAAGACTGAACTTCAATATGAGGTAGCAGGATGAACTTTGATATGAAGTGGGTGACTGGTTCAAACCCAGCTCCACCTATCGAAGTTTGAACACCCAAATAGTATTATTAACCTTCATACAATAGATATGGCTCATTGCTTACTGCGCGGACATGTATAAGGTTGTTGAATGCATTTCGATTCGATTCGAATTAGACAGTGCAGTAGCGTGTATCATCCAAGTTGCATGCATAAATAAAAGCTAAGTAAAACTGATTTGAGTTTGTGAGTTATCACAGTGAATCACATCAAAATATACTCGGGGAAAACTTGGAATGAACATTTTGATGTACCTTAAGAGGCTTACAAACACATCGTTTAATCTTAAGGGAAAAAAAGGAAGATTAGAAACAAACTAGTTCAATCAAATACTGTGGATATATAGTGTGATTTTTTGGAAAGTATGCACCATAGATGAAAGGTCTCAGCTGAATGTAAACAAGCGTATTCTCTCAGCAGTTATAAGTGTGCTGTGCTTCTGGAGAAAATAATAACCTACGGTTGAAGAGACAGCTTCTCACAGATGCGATGAAATACAAAACTGACACCAGACGTAGTATCAAAGAACGCAGCAACCAGATGCAGTAAATCAATATAAAAGTACATGGACGTTTCAGGAAAATGCAAAGTGAGTTATATACAGTTAAGAACTAATTACCTCTAATGAATTCTTCAATTCAGATAAATAAAAACTGAGATAAGCAAAAGCATATTTAATAAGCTTACTACTTACCAAAGTATGAGATTTCGCCAACGATGAATAACTCGAAGATCGATTCATCTGACGATCACCTTAATCAAGAAAATAAATAAAATGAACATGACGAATTGGAAAAGATTCGATTAGAAATAGCAATCAGCAGAATTACTTACCAGTAGAGTACTTTCTGTTGTAAACAAATTCTTCACGTTCAAATGAAATACGATTGCTTCGAAAACGTTCTTTAGTTGGATAAGATGATTTACGAATTTTAACACAATCAGGACTTCCAAGCGATATATGACAATTCCAACCACATTCTAGGCCCAAACGTTCAGCAAACACTCGACTTCGAAGTTCATTTTCCTAAACAAAAAACAAAATTTCAAACATTGAGTAAAATTTAAAGTCATACAACGAGTGTATAAAGAAGGTATAATCGTTGAAACAGAATTACATGGATCCATTTTATTTCACTGGTTTCTCATTAGCTGCTTACAACCTGAAATATAAATACCATGTACCAAAAGAGTTTGAACACACTTTGAGCAATGTAATGAAGTCAGTCAACACAAAGCAATATAGTGTTATTCGAAATAAAAGCGTCATGATGAAGTTAACAAGGCGGGTTAATAATTTTCAGTTATTTCAACCGAAAGTTCCTTGAAATTAATATGGACGGTAAAAAAACTGTTCCAGTATTTAGAGAACGAAGATTAGTTGCACGAACGGAAAACAAAACGTCAGTCAGAAGGTAAGGATATCACATAAGAGTGAATGAGTGGTTGAAAAAATAGATTAGCAGGGGAAAAAAGACTGATGACTGCTTCTTTTTGAAAACATAATATTTAAAAGCCATTTCCATGGAAAACGTCAGAAGATTCGAATTACTATTTGTTCATTACCTTGAAGGATCTCAGGGTATCTACTTTATGTCCTGTGTTGATAAGCAGTTGAAGAGAAGTCAATGAAATAAAATGGATTCATGCTACTCTGCTCCAACTATTGTTCTTTCTCTATTCAAGCTCATAAAGGAGGATGTGCATATGAAATCAACTCGTAATTTTGAAATACTGACACAATACGAAAAGCGGAAAGGGAGCTGTAAACAGTCTCCACTTTTCATAGTTCTCATACAATAAACTTGATAACTCTCAGATATTACTCACAATCGCCAACTGAAGATGATTTCGACTAACTTATACATTGCATCCCCTAGGTGTATCATGTGTGACTTTTCTGAAAACATATTAAAGTAAGAAGGGAACACTATACTTTTAAAACCCAACGTTGGTAGGTGTGTACGATATCTAAATGATCGAATCGTTCAGTAGCTTCGGAAAGATCATAATTCTAGCTTCGACTGAGTTGTTTGTAATGGAAATTCAGTTAACATCACAATTGAATAGCATAATAAACCGGTTGAGAAAAATGGCAACATGCGTTAAGTAGTTTATAGATATTTTGAATGTCTTTACCTGTAGTCCACTTGATGGCTAGTAGTGGAACTCAGGATGGACATTTCGTCCTGTTGGAGACTTATCAGATGGATGTATCTCCATTCCAGTGAGTGGTGCTGTTCGCACTAAGACTCAAACCAAATACCTATCGCTTCAAACTCCAATGCGTTACCCTCTAGGTCACTGGGGCAGGAGAGCCACCCTTATGCAACGGATATTAGTTGCTGTTTATTGATGCTTTTAATTCCCGACCGATAGGTGCTACCTTGACGTGGTCATCGGGCTTGCATATCACAATGACCCAACGAGCTATGCTGGTGGAACGCTTGTTTCCCTCGAGGTCCTACCATGCCAGAAAGGTCTGTTGGATAGTGGTTAGACGAAAAGCAGTTACCGTTATAGTGTAAATTGCTACACTATGATGGGGGTCTGAGGGCGAAGTCGTACTGCTGCTAGCTGGATGGGGTGTGCAGCAGTAAGGTGTTTCCCTTGGATGACCAGCAGTGCCATGCTGATGCTGCCTTCTCAGTGGAAGGGGGGTTAGAAAAGGTCGCCCCAAAAATAACACACCCCACCGTACCCCACGGTCTGCCGGGCCGGCGGTGTTGGTTCACTTGTCGTTTCCTTTCGACCATCCAACCCCAAAACAACAAAAATTCTAAATAATCATACTCAAAAGGCTTCATGTGACAGGCCTCAAGCAGATGTCCGATGGGCTCTGCGGTCACACAAATCTCTTTCAGGTACCTTAAGAAGAAATAGCCTTCCACGGTGTGGGCAGCCGGGAAGTGTCAACCGCCCTCACAACTCTGTCAGCACCCAAGTTTCTTCTGACTGCTATCCTCCTCCTCCATCATTACCTTCTAATCTTCCTTCACGTCTCTTAATTAATGATGCTGCATCATCTTCAATTTCTCCTACCTCTGCAGCCTTCGACAACGATCTGAGTCCACAGAACAGCTTCCCTGGTCTCCTTAAACCACGCTCCAAATTACATATTGGAGCCTTCAATGTCCGCACCCTCCGTCAAATTGGCCAACAGGCTTCGTTGGCAAAGACTCTAGCAACTCGGGCATGGATGTGTGCTGTGTTTGTGAGACACGCATACAGGACCCAAGTGTGGTTATTCACCTGACCTCTCCTGACCAATCTGGTGAATCTGCAAAATTCACCCTTCGAGTTTCTGGAGATTCGATAGCTAGCTCTCGTGGTCTTGCAGGTGTAGGTATAGCATTAAGCACCAGGGCAGAAAACTCACTACTAGACTGGATCCCAGTTGATAGTCGCCTCTGCGCTATGAGGCTGAACGGCACAGTGAGAACTAAAAGGAATAGTGAGACTCGCCGTTGTCTCTTTGTAATCTCTGCTTACGCACCCACTGACTGTAGTTCGGATGAAGTGAAGGACGAGTTCTACCATAAACTGTCTAACCTCCTCTCGAAAGCCAAACGTTCGGACGTAGTGGTTGTTGCAGGTGACCTCAACGCACAGGTGGGTAGACTGAGTGAGGCAGAAAGGCACTTAGGTGGCACTTTCGGAATCCCAGCTGAACGTACAGATAACGGTGATCGCCTATTACAACTATGCTCAGATAACCGCCTATTTTTAGCCAGCACCAATTTCAGACATAAAGAAAGGCACTGTCTGACCTGGCGTCCACCGAGCTCGACTCAGCGATGGACACAGATAGACCACATTGCTATTAGTCATCGCTGGAGAGGATCGGTGGAAGACTGCCGCTCCTTCTGGAGTACGTGTTTGGACAGCGATCATGCGTTGGTCCGAGCACGTATATGCCTGCGTCTCAATGGACGTAGAAAAAATTTGGCAACAAAACCACTACGAGTTCTGCTGGACAACGAAAACACCAAAGCCGTGTTCAGTGAGAAGTTGGCTAGGCAGTTATCGGAACAAAAGACTGTCACTCATCCAGAAGAAGCTTGGTGCCATCTTCAGTCTACTGTAAAAGCAGCACTGGAGACTGTAGCCGACTCCAAGATAATGGCTAAAAAGAGCCAGTGGATATCAGCAGCTTCTTCCAAACTAATGGATGCACGTGAATGCATCCCTGCAGGCTCTGAGTACAATGAAGAGCGAGCGCAACTTAAAAATAAACTGACGAAAAGTCTGCGCAACGATCGTGAACAGTGGTGGGCAGCAAAGGCTAAAGAGATGGAAAAGGCAGCGGCGATCGGTAACAGTAGACAGTTATTTAGACTTATTAAGGAGACTGGGGGGAAATGGTCAACAACAGTTAGTGAGGCTATAGCGGAGAAGGACGGATCTGCGATTCACTCGCAGGGGAGACGACTGGGACGATGGGCAGAACACTTTGAGGAACAGTTTAACTGGCCTCCAGCCACCATTGCGCTGCCCGCTATCCAGTCGGACCCTGAATGGGACATAGAGACAGGTCCCCCAACACTAGAAGAAGTTGAGAAAGCGGTAGGTAGCCTGAAACGGGAAGGGCAGCAGGACCAGACGGACTACCTGCTGAGGTATACAAGAATGGTGGTAGAGTTCTCTTAGTCAGGCTAACGGAAGTGTTAGCCAGTATATGGGAATCAAATACGATCCCCTCCGACTGGTCTAAGTCACTCATCATCCCAGTCTTCAAGAAAGGCGAGAAGTCCTCTTGTGATAACCACAGAGGAATCAGCCTGACAAACATAGTGTCTAAGATCCTAAGTTCTATAATTCTCCGACGCCTGAGTGGAGCTCGGGAACAGCAAGCCCGAGAAAACCAGGCAGGCTTTAGACCTGGCCGTGGATGTATCGACCAAATATTCACACTGCGCCAGGTCCTGGAACATAGGCATGCTTACAGACGCCCGACAATAGCTGTATTTCTCGACCTGAAGGCGGCATTTGACTCCGTTGATCGAGAAGTCTTATGGCAGTGTCTGTCACTGAAAGGCGTGCCTAGTAAGTACATCACCTTATTGAAAGCTCTCTACTCGAACACTTGTGGGCATGTTAGAGCCTATGGTGAGTTGTCCAGGGAGCTATACTCATCAAGTGGTGTCCGTCAAGGATGCCCACTATCCCCATTCTTATTTAATTTTATCATAGATATTCTTATGGAGGTTTCCCTCTCGTCACCTAATTACAAAGACGTTGACCCGATCACAGGTGAATTTTCCTTAGATCTAGAATATGCAGATGACATAGTCCTGTTAGGTGAAGACGCTGACAAGATGCAGAGTCTTCTGAACACTTTGAGTGGGAATTTGAGAATGTTTGGGATGCGATTTTCACCACCCAAATGCAAATTATTGCTCCAGGACTGGTCTTCAGCGGTGTCACGACTAACAGTAGAGTGAAGTGGTTGAGTGTGTTGACCACTTCACTTACCTGGGAAGTAGGATCAGCCCTAGTGGCTAGCTCAGTGGCTGATGAAATCTCTGCACGGATACAAAAGGCTCGATTGACTTTTGCCAACTTACCCCACCTATGGCGCCACCGTGATATTCGATTGTCTATTAAGGGTCGCGTGTACTGCACAGCCGTCCACTCTGTTCTACTCTATGGCTGTGAAACATGGCCATTGAAGGTGGAAGACAAGAGAAGGCTGGCCTCAGGTGTTTGTTTGACCACCGTTGCCTTCGTAGTATAGGACGTATTCCGTGGTGTCACCACGTGAGTAATGCAGAAGTTAGGTGTAGAGTTTTAGGGAGAAGAGGTAAGTCAGTTGACGAGGTTGTGAACCTTCATCGACTGAGATGGTTGGGACACGTGTTACGTATGCCTAGTCACCGATTGCCTTGTCACACAATGTTGGCTGAGGTGGGTCCAGGCTGGAAAAAGGCCCGAGGTGGCCAGACTAAAACATGGCACCAATGTATGAAGTCTCTGACTGTTGGTTTAAGCCATGTAGGACGATGCAGACTAGGTGGTTGGGGTCCATGGGACAAGAGGAACCAATGGTTGGAGACTCTAGGTGATATGGCTAGGAACCGATGTCAGTAACACAGATGTATACACACATTATCCTCATCTTAACTACACTATACCAAATCTCACCATTTTGTCGCTCCTCTTTCTTTTCTTCTCGTACTTTACATTTCTTTTGATTGCATTCACTTATCTTCATCCTTCACCTCACTACCTTTCTACTTGATGAACTGACGTGGGGTGTGGCAACTCGGACCGTTAAGCAGTAATGCCTGGTCCTATGTTGATAATGATACTTTTAATTTCCCGTTGCTATATTATATCAGGTACATTCAACTGACGGTTGCCGAATGGGAAGAAATGCGTGTTCTGGATTCCATTGCTAATCACCAAGCGGACTACAAGATAATGAATGTCCCGGCAGTATCAAGGCATCCGTATAGGAGCCCATCTGCCAATAGAGGTGGAGCAATTCAACCATGTATAGCGATGGGAAATTACGTATCTTAATCCGCATTTACCACAAATCTTGTGAGTTTAAGCTGCACAAAATGATCACACAGAGAGGAATTCAGTAAAAATAATTTCAACAAACAAAAATGCATAATACTTTTTACTTACTCGAGAAAAATGCACAAAACGTATGCAGGCTTGATGGAGTTGTTTAATTGTTTTTACAACTTGAGGATTCGCCTGGTACTGCATACTCACTAAACCTAGGAATATCTGATTGCTTAGGATGTTTTTTATTTCTTTCGGATCGATATGAAAATCACCTCTGTGATACAGAAAAAAGTGAACACAGAAGTATAAAATACAAAAGTAGGTGTGAAATCTGCTCAAACATGAAGTAAGCTTAATATGGGGAAGCAAGCATTGAATGATGATACCCCATGAGATACTATTTAGAGGACCATTGATAGGTCAGTACAAAACATAGGGGGAGGAATTACCGTTGCTGGGTAAACGTGACTGTCAGTTGTGATATATCTAGATACTAATTCCTATTAACAGGCTTCAGGTAGACCCGTAAATACGAGTATATGTGTTGACAAGGTTAAAATTCACTTACCATTCAGTCATAACAATACCTAACTGTCATCCAATGCTAAGAATTTAAGCATAGACCAGTTTAGGAAGGAAAGTAGTTGCATATGTATATTTAGTATCGAATACAAGTGTGCCAACTACCGAGTACACTAAACCCTTACTACCAAAAGGTTGTGTATTATGCAGATGCAGTTGATTTCCATAATTTTCAACTATTTTACTAGGCATTCAATTATTTGAAATGAAGGTGGGTAATATTTAGTACTGGTAGAGTTTATGCATGGTCATCAGCCAGAAATATTGTTTCTGATATATCAGAACGCGCCTGTCTGTCAACACATTCTCCAACGTTTTAACGATATCCAGTGATTTGAATCTGTAATCACGACATGCTTTCTCAGCTCAGAGTTTAAGGCCTTCGACAGCCATCCGGTGGATAAAGTGAATAAACCTACTTTGATCTATGTAAACTATATCAAATCACTGTCTTTCATACATCAATTATGCTGCGTAAGTTAGAGCGCAAGTTTATAAGACGTTGATAGTTTGCAAAGCAGTTGCTGCTTTGTACCGTACTAATCCTGTCAAGTTTGTTTAGTTTTATATGCAACTACGGGCAGAATATCAATGTCACACTAAGTTCGTGATTAGACTTCTCTTCAATGAATTTCAGGCAACGTTACAATTTCACGATCTGACACTTTATCACTGTCCCATATTTCTGAGTGGACATCTTGTTCAAACTAGTCTACTTGGATAATTTAGGAATTTTCTCTCTACTTCTTTTTTCTCTACCCACCACTGTTCACTATTATTACCATTACTATTTAGCAACGTTCATACATTGTGTGAAAAGCATCAGCATCGAAGGTTTGTGATTCGACTATTTCAGACAACAGCAATCATATCCACTGACTTTAATTATCAGTTGATTTGAACTCTCTATTTCTATACAGCTGTCTCTGTAACAAAGTGAATGCAACATCGAACCAAATATTGCACACTCTGGATTACCAATAAGTAGAGAAACCTTTTCGGAGCCAATCACGGTGGTGCGGATGTATCATTTTAATCTCACTTGTTCTCCTACCTCATCTTTCCATTCTCAGTCTATTTATAAGTCTTCTTCACAGTCATGCTGTTCGGTTTGGTAGTTTTCAAAATTTGTAGGTTATTCCTTAGTACAGTCAACTATAGTGCCAACTATCAGTGTTCGGATGGTGACTGGCGCCATACACATAGCTTATACGTTACTAGAATTTTATGCAGCATATCTGAAAACAACCTGCAAGTTATATGGACCCACGTGCTGCACTCCTTGACATCTATTATAGTAAACATCTAAGAAATCCATAATACCCGAAAAATGATGACTCAGTAGTCGCAAACCTTGGTCATTGAGGAAATGAATAACAAGTGAGTAACATTTCTGTTAACGTTTGTGGATTCTTTTGTCAAGGCATGAGTATTCTCCGGCCTCGAAAGAAAAGTTGTTGAATTTTAAATACCTAATAACAACCAGCGTTACTTATTAGTCAACTTTGTTATAATTTAAAAACTACAATTCAACACAGGGTTTTCCATACTTTGTCGACTGTTTGTTAACATGAATCAATGACTCGGAGTTTAATTATGTACTTTACAGTCAGAACACTGAGACGATATGCTCGAATATACACTTCGTTTTTTAATTGTGTTTCTGTATAATAAAGAAATAATCGACTTACATCCATTTGCATCAGCCAATAGTTGAAAATAGCAATTTGATGTCCCGCATGAGTAGAAAATGAATGAATTTACACCAATTCATGAAGCCACTGACTGCTATACTGAGCCTTTTTAGGAAAGAATAAACTACCTGACGAGTATTTACAAGATATTAGGAACCAGTGATTTACAACTACAGACGAATTATTTAAAATGGATTGCAATTGTGGAATTACATTCACTTTCTATCACCCATAAAATCTTGAGTATTTTATTACCATATACACTCACTTCCATTTATAGCCATGATTTTATTTATTTTAAATGCGCTCTCACTTCTATTGGTTTTGGGTTTATTGTTGTGAAGTGTGGCAAATCGAAGTGATGGACTTTCGTGTGAGGTTCTACGCTATTGTACGGCTCTTAAACACACTACTACTACTTGCTCTTTAATAGTATGTGGATTAAGAAGGGTTGAAATATAGGAGAATACAGTATACAGGGATTGATTTTAAAGTCTTCGACCAAGATAAATATCGCAATATAGAAATAAACAAGAGGCTTACAAAGCTTAGAAAAACTAGTGAGGAAAACATTTTATTTGCTTACTTCTGTTCACAGCCCAGATGACCAGACTCATCATAAGCACTAGCTTCCGAAACGCTCTTTTCCTTCGGAAAGTTACCCAAAATTGAATCGTCATAATATTCATCGAAACTATCATTCATCGGATTGAGTTCACTCTCTCCACGCATGTCGGCAGAAGTATTTCGTGTATTCAGCTTATTCTTTGCGTATCTTAGCCTTTTTCCATTAGCCTTTAAATTTTTGATATTTATAGTAGCGAAACTCCGTTCCTTATGATGATACAGTTTAGAGACTGAATTAAATTTGATCTTTTTAATCTTACTTACAAGTTTTGAGAAGTTAGAAGTAAATTGTCCGTTTAATTTTGACATACTTTGACACTTAGCGGAAATCGGCCTGTTGTTAACAGTGTCATTATCATTACTGTTATCACTATCGTTAGTGCTTACTGCATGAGATAGCGAAGGTGACTTTGCATTCAATCGACACCGATTTGCGTGTTGTGCTGCAATATTTCTTTGCAATAACGGTGAAACACGATCAGGCTTCGAAGAAAAAAAGAATAAAAGAACGATAAAGAACATTGTGGAATTTTTTCAAACATAGGAGAAAAAAGTGCAAATGCTTTTTCAGGGTAAGGATTCTTAAAGTATCTTGAATGAATCACATGACAATTGTGATATGGTGTCAACCGGTCAGTCAGTCAATGTCAACGTGGGACCTAGCAATAATGCGTTGCCACACCTTATATCAGTACAGCAAAACGAAGGATAGAGGAATAAAGAGGAAAAAAAGAGATTTTAAGTTGTAGGAAGTCATAGACAGGAACAGACATGATATCAACACAGTACCAGGGACTACTACATAACAATCCAAGAAACTACATCTCATATCAGCACATTATGCGACTGACTGGTAAGATAAAAGGAAGAAATAGAGAAGAATCAGCCGAAGGAAATATGAAGTAGTAAAAAACAGGAAAGAGAAATAATAAAAATACTGAATTCGGTTTGACGAATAAAATGATGATAATGTGTAGAACCATCTGCACCCCTGAGATCAATCCTGAACCATATCACCTAGAGTATCCAACTAACGACTTCGGCCGTCATGCGGTTCTCAACCTGGAAGCCTAAACTTCTCTATACGCCTCAGACTTCATAGATTAGTGCTACCTTTTAGTCTGGATCCTACGTGATTCCACAACACATAGCCTTCGCTGTAAAGGCAACGGTGATCAAATACCTGAAGCCTTCTCATATCCACCACCTTTAATGGCCATACTTCACTACCAGATCGCTCAGAAGACGCACAACAACCATCACAGACAAAATACTGTAGACATAAGTTGCACAAAACCTCTATCCAACTCACACATAGGGATGGGGACATCTGTTCGGAGGTTGTGTGGATATATGCTACAGCATTCAACCCCAGTAATCAGAACATATTTTGTGATGTCAGAAATCCAAATGATACTCAAAAACTACGCGCATGTTCAAGAGCCAGGCAGTGAGGCACATTAATGAGTGAGGACAGATGATGCTATCTAATTTCCTCAACAAGTGGAGCGGAGTTCAAGTTAGTGACCTACCAATTGAAAGTCGAGTGTTTAGACCAACAACCTTCAGTTCTATTCATTGTAACATGAGAAAATGATAAGTCTTGCAACAAAATATAGTGCTGAATATTGATAACGAATTCGGAAACGTAACAACAGAGTAACTGTATGTACAGCAGTAATAGTAGTAATTAAGATAAATAATTAGTTACAAGTAAAAGACTATTACACCTGATAATGAATTATTTTGGATTACTTATTAGTGCATATTTACACCTCACAAAAGAATCACAGAAAGATAACGAAAAAGCTTTCCCTTCTAAGTTCGAAAATCTCAACCGTATCTTCTACTTAATGAATATTTAGTTAATGTACTTTTCATTGAAATAGGACAAAATACTTTTCGGGCACTTTCTGGTTTTCCACTGTTGGTTAATTGTACTCTTTTTTGATGTAATGTGTTTAGAAACTTAGAAATAATGTGTACCGTTTGGGAACAATAAACAAATAACGTAACACCTAAAGTATACGGGCTTCAAACAAAAAGCTTAAGATTCATAAGAAACTATTCTTTCTCTATACTTCACATCTTATTAACACTTTAAAATAAAAGAGAAATTAAAATTCAACTAATACTTACTCCTGGCAGGTGAAGCACTAAGATGTTTGATGAGTCAGAAAGATTATTCAGCAAAGATTTATAAGACTCATCAGCCTTATCAACCAATGGTGAATAAGCGAACCCAACACAGTATGCAGATGAAAGGTGACGATTATGAAATCCTAAGATAAGATCACGTAACCTTTCTGATAGGGGTATGATATCGCGCCCATCCCAAACATCGGAACATAAACTAACCAGGATATCACCAGTGCCCTGGGATAGAAGTTGATAACCATCTTCAGTTTTGAAATCAGAGAAGACAGCACTAAATGAATGGGCCAAATGACTTGGACTCTATATCGAATAGAAATGAAAGTTAATCAGTTAACATTTTGATGTTTTTAAAATACAGGGAAACAGATACAAAACTCTATATTATTATGACTGTATGGAAACTGAGAAAATTATTCGTTCCTCTTTAGACTTGGGGTACTGATACGTGGAGATATGAAGTGCTGATATATCCACCAAAAGACAGACTGCACATCGTTTTACTTTGTAGAATGCAAAACAAAAGATAACTAAATGATGATTACCCCTGAATAACAAGTTGAGATGATATAGTATGAGTCCTGGTGAGATTATTTTATATTGATTTAAATCCTAGCAGACAAATATTTTCAGTAATATAGGTAAGCTGGAAATGATTAATCAAAAAAACCATGAATGTATATCACAGGGACCATAATTAGCTTGTAACTGAAAGACCGTAATAGTATTTACTTACTGCTGAAATATAAACGGAAATACACATTATGCTGACAAAATTGATTAGTGGTAACAAGAGAAATATTGCACACATGCATAGCAGACTTCTGGGCTTCATATTACTAATGTGCAAGAACAGTAAAACAGTAAATATTGTGGATAGTTAACATTACAAGGACTGACCTTTGTGACCACCAATCTCAACTAACCAGGAAACATGCAGGTTTATGAAACAAATTAGGAACCACGCCTACTTTTAAAGGTTACTGATACTACCTGTCTTCTCAAATCGCGGTAGATGACGTCAGATTTGGATGTGCGAGTGTTTACACATATACGCTACACCTCCATATCTGGATCATACACTTTGTGCTATCTTTCAACTTAGAATTACAAAGTAACAAACCGCATCAGATTTCCTATAAAATCGTTTTCTGATATAAGAATCCAGAAATTGTAAACCACTGGCACACAAAACTTAATATTGCCTGCACTTATACCATGATGACAAGATTTATTATGGTGAAACACGAGAATATATCTACTGTTATGCTGCACTTAGATCAGTGGACACTCAGCAACCTTAAAAACTATGGTTACATAGAACCAGTGGAAATGGAAAGTTAATATGCATAGGAAGTAACAACAGGGCTTATCTCAAGCACGACACAATACACAATGCGACTGAACAGTTATATTTAGAATCGTACATTCAGCAATGAGCCAACTAAAGTATTACGGCTGTGACTGCTTCCCTACTAAAAATCAGTGGAGTAAAGTTCGAACGTGAAACTCACTGCTTGACAGCTGAGTGTATGGTTCAGTGAACTAATGATCTATTATGATTGAAAATGGAATTCCGAAAAACAGCAAGAAACCTCAATGTAGTCATTAGCTTCCATCCAGTGAGTGAAGTGAAGTATGTGTTGCCCAATTCTCACAATGACCTGACTTAATACTTCATATTGTTAAGGGCAGAGGAAGAAACAAAGTTCGAGTCGATCAATGCATTTCCAGGTTATGTAGAAAAAGAAACATGGGTTGGTTAGTGTTGCAGATGAAATGGCTATTTACAGGTGACAGGCAAAACAGTTCAAAACTGAGGTCAATGAAGTGGTTACGTTTATTCCATCGAGAAACCAAGTAACCTTTAAAATAATGCTCAGTTTTTCTCTTATGATTCTTCAATGTCTTTCCTAACCATTGAGAAATACATCAACTTAGACAAATGCATCCTTCTACAAAGTCCTACATTCAGTATCCCTAGTTAGTATCAGTATTTACAAACAAGGAATATAGCACTATTAATGGTCAGTCAACGTTAGAAAAACGCGATTCACCGTGTAGCGTAAATCCACTCGGCAACTTTGTGCGAATCCATGCAGTAGGCAGTGAGTTACACATATTTTGTGAGGGCAAATGCTACTACCTGGTTGCTCAAATCTCAGTACGTGAAGCTGGGGTTGAACCTGTGACCCACCGGTTGGAAATCAGGTGCCCAGACCAACGAGTCACAGCTTCGCCCAAGCATACGTAATGGAAAAACAAGCAGCGATATGCAGGCAAATGAAGTTGGAATTACTTAAACAACAATACCAAAGTAGTAGAACTTACATCTTTATTACCTAAATTCGCTGGGAAGGTGTCTTGGGATATCGGTTCATCTTTCCCATCAGAATCGTTAGTATTAGCGACATATGCAGCTGAACAAAAGGAGTAAGCTCCTAAACATCCGTGAGTTAAAAAGCCATTTACAGCTCCATCACGAAATCCTATTTGGCTAGCGAGACCGCAAAGACAAAAAGACAAGGGTAGTGATGTAATACATGATGAAGGGATGAAATATCTTTGTATCGTGTTCACATTGTCGAAAAAGCCAAGACGCTGCTTTCTAACAGAAGAATGACAATTATTGAGAAGGATCGATAAACCAATAGGTTTAAGAGATGATATGAAGCGATCCCAACGCGGTTTTTCAAAATGACATAAAGAAGGACAGCAGAAATCAGTTCGCACATTTAAGACCACAGGAGCAATATTATTGTCCAAAGGGAATAAGGTACTTCTCCTGAAGGAAGGTATTTCATCAAGATCATCAGTACTGATAGGCACTCTTCGAACGGTGAAACTCTTGGCACTGTTGACTTTTCCTTGATATTGCTCATGACACTAGCGATTTAAATGAAAGAAAATAAGTTGCGATGTGGCGTATCGAAATAAATAATTTGTCTGTTTAACGGGAAAATAAAGTAAGGTCATGATTCATTTCATTGGGCGCATAGAAAATATACACCAGAGGTACTGAAAACTCATTCGCATTACTAACTCATATTGCTGTAAGCTTTTTTGCGCAGTGTATACAAGAAAGCTAAATCACAATCTGTCTAGAGTTAAAATGTCATATTTGAAGTAGGGATAGTGGTTCAAAAACTTAAATGAGAACCACGATATCTCAGAATCGTAGATGAGGTCATGGGTGACCGTTGCTTAGCTGGCACATAGTATAACAGGACTGCAGTTTACTGTTTACTGACTTCACTGATAGCAATCTATGATAAAGACTGTTTGAGAAATCAACTCTGCCTTTTGAATGAGAATGAAAGTTACAGTTACCATAGCTTACAACCTGAGATCGCGGAAATCGATCAAAGCATTCCATATTAACTTCTGCGAACACAAAAATGGTTGAATGCGCACCTGTTTCTTCTTCATTTTAAACTCTTCAGCTTATTACTACCACTTATTTCGATCCACTTAATAATAGCGACGGAATTGATACACAACTAGTGTTGAGCTAGGCAGTAAATTTTCAAAGTAATGGGTTACTCCTGTTCCATCGTAGCACAGATAAAAAAGAATGCTTCATGTCATTTATTTGATGCAGAGAGTATTATTACTAAATGTCTTTACTCTACTATTTTTTTTCCTAGTTAGGAAAAATTAACTGGTTGACGGGTGATAACTTCTTCCCTTAAGTCTATCGTTAGACATACATTCACCTAAACGTATGTGTATATTCGCAAAAATGAGCACTGGTATCATAAATTTACGTCCTTCCTATAAAAGACTAACTTCATACGGTATCTACACTTTGACATTACGCTTGAGGGGAACAGCATGGAGCCATGAATTTGATAGGCGACTAATACATAAGGAGCAGATAGCAACATATTCATAACCCAAGGGAACACTGGATAAGTTCATTTATCAGCTATTTTAGATGAAAACTTGATAGTATACTAAATGTGTTTTCGAACTCAAAAGATAAAAGGATACTGAGGAAACAGCTTGGAGGTGAGTGGAGTTTAAGTACATGGATTCAAATCACTGAATGCTGTTAATATTCAATGTAAATCAATAGTCACATTCATTTTAATTAGCTAGTTATCGATAAGTCAACAATGAGAGTTTAGATATCAAGCGTAGCATACGTTGATAGTTTATTGTTGGTAATTATAATTCACTTTACGGTCGACGGTCCTGTTATGAAATTCTAGGAAGGGGTAATCACAAGATGGAACGAAAAGTGGGCAGTGCTTATCTGCTGGCATCTTCCTACTACCACATGCTTGTTTACCGGACTGATGAGCAGATTTCTAACATAGCACGCCTGATGGAAAATAAAAGCATTCTCCTAAATCAAAACCTAGACAATTGCATATAGTACTTTACTACGTCTCCACTTTCTAGAACTCTAACTTATCACATACCGTTGACAAGTTTAGTGTAGCATTCTATCAAACACAAAGCTGACTGACAAGTGAATCAATAATAAGGCTTTAAATACGTGATAAACACAATACAACCCAATACGGCTTCGCGACATTGTATAATAATCATACTAATAATAACTCAGTAATCATGTGTAGGTAGGTTGTAAGAAACAATTATTCTTAGAGGGTTTATGACACTACCAAGCTGCCTAGACTGAAGCAGCTGAAGAAGGGTCTGAGTTTTGGACGTAGTTCTTGAAAGCTTAATGTTTAAGTCAATGAGGCAGTCATCACAAAGTAGTGTGTGTATAAAGTGTAAATTGAATGGACTTTCTAGTAAAAGCATGAAATGCATTTTAAAAGGGATTGAGACGACCGCACTTACAGCTCAGGTGACTTGATGACCGACATATACTATGTGCTATCAAATAAAATTTGTAAAGTAGACGTTCATAAAATAACAGTACTATTCAAGATGTACAGCTAGTATAATTTCCCGATTTTGTTCTATAAAAACATTACTGTTTGAATAGTAAAGTGACACTTATTCAAATGAGCTTTAACAGAACCGAAAGTTACACTTGCATGTGAAAATGTTGTGTATTGATTGGACCATTTTTAAAGTTCTGCTGGGTTAGACGTCCTTGTATGTTTATATTTCGTTTACAAATTGTACTTTGAGATTTGTGTGTACTACAGTTTTCCTGAAAATGGTGATGATGATGCCGTCTGTGGAAGAAAACACCTTCTCTGGAGTTGGCAGGGGCTGACTTATAACACCTTCTTGGTTGACACAACACACAGAACTTAGCGTACCCAGCGTAAGTATAACGTTTTCCATATCCACAGTCATCTGCAGACGGAGCTGTAATAAAAAAATTCTAGTGAAGCTACTCTCTCCAACTGTGCAAATAATATGCTGAAAAAGTTTCACATGCAAATAATTGGCAATAACAAACTGTTAAGTTGAACTCGTTACCTGAAAAGTAGTTTCAGTGAAAAAATATTGAAAATAAAAAAAGCTAATTGTAGTTGTTTTAACACTGGTCTCCGAATGTCAATATTGTGCATATGATATTTTACCAATTAAACCCAGAGGACATAAATTGGGCTAAATGAGATGAGATACTTTCAGAAAGCTAGCGAAGTTCGGTCCCGATTGGTTTCATCAGTTTGAGTGACAAGTACATGCGAGAATGAAAAGTATTATGTGACTCTACTTACACCCGTTAAGTATTTGAAACATAGAAAACGTTTGACAATCTCTGAAATAAAAAACTAATAATCTAAGGAGGCGGTCACCGCTTGAGATTTTCTAAGTATTGATGGGAAACATATGTTTCTAAGTCTTTCGATTATCTAAAAGGTAACTTTGGTTAAAGTTTAAACAAGAATTTATAAAAATCGCAGTGTCAATTCACACCAAGAACGTTATGAAGTCAATCATGACTCCAATAAGCCAGCACCTTAACATAGTGCAGTACTAATGGTTTGGTTGGTCCTGCCAGTATTCCTGAAAGTATAGTTTAATGCAACTAAAGGCTGCGCACTAGAATATGTGAATTTAATATTAGCAATTTGGATTCACATCTGTGTACATCAAAATGGGTATAAAGGGCCAGTGAAAATTGAGAAATGAATCTTAGCAATTTATACTTTTTCTAGAGACTTTGTATTGTGCCTCCGCAAACACACTACCCTTCGACTGCGTTCATTCAGCTAAATAAATGATTTAGATATTAGCCTGTGCTTCATGAAACCTCTTGAAAGTTGCTGAATCCACTAATTCTGTCTCTAAATGACTAGTGAAAACCAAAAAACCAAAAGGGCTTGGTAACAAATCCTCTTTTCCTGTTGAAATCTAGGGATAACATAATCTAGACCTTGACTAATAAGTGGAGGCAGCAAGTAGAGATTTTAGCCCCTCGTACTGAGCACTGATCTTGAATATACATGCATATTCAAAACAGTATTTCACATATTCGGGTACTATATAATCAATAAGATAAGAGTAAAATTTATGCGTTAAGCTGGAATAAAACGTCATGACTACTTTTTCCTTAGGTAGAAATAGGGATAATAAATTGGGCTCACGTTACTAAGTAGAACCATTCCTCTATGGCGCATTCAACAGACAAAGGAATATGATACCAGAAAACCACGTTTTTGATGGCCTTATAGTCTTTTATTCCATATCGAGTTATTGCAGCTTTAAATGGTCAGCACATACCCAACTGTTACGGAATCACTCTAAAGGCAACCTGAGGAACTTACGGTAAAGCAAATCAGGCTTGTTTATCTTATTAAAAAAAATTACTTTCCCAAGTTAAACAGGGGAACCCAGTTATTTGCCTCAGAAGTTACTAGGGCGGTATTCAGGGTCACTCAGTCTTATGATGAACTGGTTAACATGTATTCAACATGTTAATAGCATTCTTATTGGATGGAAGGACTCATGCATTTGTCCTAGGCATTTATTATTATGATGAAACCGTATTTGTCATTTCCGAGACTCATGTCCACAGTGAAAGGCTGTTTTAACATCATATATGGATGTATAACGTAGAATAAACCGCGAAAATATTAACTCAAACCGTGTTAAACCAGAAAAACATCGTGGATACCTATTCGGATTTAATGCAGAGGTAAAATGATTCCTCAATCATTGAATAACTTACTGCTATATTGGTTACACATCTTATTTGCTACTTACACCTATCAGACTAAAAAAGCACCCACTATTAGTAGTTATATGCTACTGAAAGGATTAAATCCTCAAAGTAATTCAGAATGCTGATGTAAACTTGAGTAAATTATCGCTATTCACAAATTCAATCAGTTGTTACTAATAGGAATGAAGTTATGTTTTTAATAGAAGCAGGAAGCTCATATAATTCTTAAAGTCACAATGAAATACAAAATTACACTGGTTTCAAATCTTACGTACCGTGCGCCAAATGTATGAAATCTGGAAAAAAATAGGCGGGGATCGGCTGAACCTAGACGTTGGATGTCAGAGGCTTTAGATTTGCCAGATAGGTAGGAAGATTTGAATTCTTTGCTACCAAATGAATAAAACGGATCCTGAAAACCAGATAACATTTGCCGAAAGCGAAGTGTGACGAAAAAGGAAGAAACTATCCACACGAAGTGAAGAGAAAGGCTTGAGAAAGAAGCAATAAAAACCCCGATCGTACGACTGAACCATACTAGTAGTTGATGATGGGGACCATGAGTTTTATCAATGAAGAAAACAGTAATAAACATGGAAATAAGAAACAAAACAATAAGTGAGCACTTGATGACCAGAGAAATAATAGTGGCAGTACGCAAAATTTTGTAGCCAATGGGTTGAGCAACACATTTGGCTTCTTGGCCTGTGCTAAGAGCGATCTCGAAGTATGAGGCCAGAGGAGAGCGTGTAATGACAGCCATCACGTGTTCATCTGATTCCTGAATGGATGCACCCAATAGACGATTCTTAAATTTTTGTGGCACAAAGATATCACCGGGCAAGTATGTAACACCAGCCTAGAAAAAGGTTAGGTAAGAATACTAGAAATACTTTGTCTGAATTCATCTGCTCGCAGTATGCAAATATGGTCTGCCCTGGTTTAATAATGATGACATCGCCAGGAACAAGTAGGACTGCTGGTAGGACTACTATTTCTCCATCTCGGATAGCAAGGTGAGTATCCAAACCAAACATCTGATTCACAAAGCCATCTGTATGTGGGGAGTAGTACAGAGTATTCGAATCAAGACTTCCTACACACGTGTTACTGAATAGACAAACTTACCGATATATGTGAAAATAGATTTAAAATATATTATGTACTTTGCATGGAGTGAACTAGTCCTCTTATAATTTTCCAAGAAGGTAAGGATTATAAGACAACTTGATAGTAGGGTGAATATGATATCCTCACTTAGTGAGTTGCAGAGAAACTGAAATTATTTATTTAGTTAAGTCTATTTGCTCAAAAACCTAACATACCCTGGAGATTGTCTGTAAAGGGCAGTTGAACTTGTAATGAAATAAGTGACATGATGCTCAACACCAAAGATGAAACATCACAACGAAGCCAAAGTAAACCGTTTTTCCTCAGATCTATTCCATTACTAAGTGTCTCTAGCACTTCACGAAGACGCTCCATAGCTACAATAGTTTTCAACCCTTGTTCCATAGTGACAAGGGAGATATGACGCTTTCACCAGATTGAACATAGCACGAAACCGAATAGGCCAATTGGCATCGACCTTGGAGAGATCAAATACTGTGTCAGAGTTCAAAGTCAAAATTCAATATTTTTAGCGCATTAAACCACTGACTTCAACAACATCCAGTAGTGTGAGAAGAGCAGACTAGCATTTTATGAGCTCTTGCTTTCAGATCTTGAGGACTGGTTCCTTTTGCTCAATTATACTCTTTTGGTGGTCGCAAATCTCGTTTCAATTTGCCTGTAAATTGTTTTTGAAGTGATGATCATTTAATTGCAGATATTCTTTTAGAATTGTGAGCTGGTTTGTCTGAGAGACGGAGGGAGCTAATGATAAGATCAACTAACCTGCAGCAGTTCTCGCTCTTGCGAACATATGTGAATAAGCATTATGCCTTATACTAAAATAGTGCAAGAATTAGGGCAAGTAAAGGATAAGAAAGGACAAGAGAAAGGCAGTTATGAAAGATTTGTGTTACTAACGATATTGTCGAGATGGCACAGGTCTCACTGAAGATACTACTGTTGAAGAACACAGGAATGGACGAGCATACCCTCAGTTACCTTCGACGAATGTTCATAGCAAGTCATTCGCACTAACATACTTACCAAGCAGTCCTTTGAAGGAATCAGATAATGTGGCTGTTGCTAATTCTTTTGGCACAGAGTTCCTTGGGGTACATGCTCCGTGTGGGAAGAAGCCAGATGGAACTCTCGGTTTTGCTCTCTGGTGGGGAATGAGAATGGGGTTCCCACGAGACTTTTGGTTTTAGTTTCGCGTGTATTTTGCCTGTTAGCCCGAAAAGTGGCTTCATCGACCTTCTCTACATCTCGCGAGTACTCACGTCTTGCTTTGGCAAAGGAGGACCTGTGGTGTTGAATACCTCTATGTGTTGTCTAACACAGGTTTAACCACTACGAGGAACAGTTTAGGGGTTAGGTGTCCGGGTTGTCTTCTCAGGAAAAGCATGATGGTGTTCGTCTTTACCAACATTCTCCTATCATATCTAGTGCCCCAGATCCTTCTCCGAGTATACCCTGACGAATGCTTACCTGCTGAGGGCATAGCTTTGTTTCAACAGCAGACTAGTCGAAAATAAAACCCGCAGCTAACCGACAGCGTCGAAGAACTCGATGGCTTCCATTTTCACCCGTCCACGTTATTTTCACGGAGCTATTCAATTTTCTTTGGGCTCCATTCAGGTTTAAAAGGTAGTGTGCTATTAAACTGCGCTTTTTCTTTCAGTAGTTGTCCTTATGAAGGTGCGTTCTTGTTGTATGCACAGAAATAATCGTTGATAGTGATTCAGCTGACGAGCTATGGTTGTTGACAAATCTACCGGAGAAATTGTAATAAACTCAAAAATGATCCAGCCATGTCTTTTGAACCCGGATACGTAAGTCCTCGTCGATAATACGGACACTCTATTGTAGGACGGAAAGCAGTGACAAGGAAATGCAGAAGGAAAGAGAAAAAGAGAAAGACCAGACGGTAAACTGGCAAGCTCATAAATATATTCACACTGAACGATAAAAAGGGATACAGCAGTCAATAAAACGCGGAAAGAACACAAGACAGTGCGGCAAAAGAAGCTGAAAATTAGATGAGTGCGTCTATCTGTAAGACAGTCAGCCGATGCTGATGGAAGGGGATTCGATAGGTTAGTAACTCAGTCATTTTTCAAGGTACTTAGGTGGGAAATAATATCTCTTCTTTATCGCTGTGGGAGTAAAACAATCACTTTAATCTCGCTAATCAATTTTACTGCAAAAGGTAGATAAAACCTACGACTGTCTGTTGGCAATCCTCAGCACCCATTCTGTTGCATCGGCTATTTTGGAACATTTGAAAGGTACAGTGCTGGAGCGAGGCCTTCAGTTGGTATGGGATAGAAGCCTAATTACACGTCGATGGAAGCATTTTATCGCCTGCCAAAATGACCAAATAACACAAAACTCAATACGTATGCAGGCGCTGCGAGTTGAAGTTGTCTTCGGGCTGCGTCAAACCCCGTGGCCCACGTTGGAAATTTATTCAGAACCCGCCAGGATTGTCACTTTCGAGGTATGGCATCGCACTATAAATAGAGTTGACTTATACGCGTTTCTATTTCGACCGATCCATGCGTATCAACTTAGGAGCGAACCCATTACCGCAGTTAATGATACAATACATCCTGTCCTCATCAGCAAATAGCAGACATAACAGAATGACCTTCCGTACCCGGTTGAAGTTAAGAAGTATGAGTTGCTGCCAAAACTGACAAACATGGGGGAAAAGATAACGAATGCGCAAAAAGTGGGTGAAAGCTAATGATGGGCAAAGCGTGAAATTGGGCAGAAGTGCAGGAAATCAAAGGAATTATCAGCAACCTGACGACGCGTCCACCTTAATTCGCCATGACTTCCGTCTTCGCTCCCTCTTTCAAAAAAATCCTCATGCCTTAACCGTATAATCCTTCATTCCCAATAATTCCACACAATTTTAACGTTCCTAACCAACGACATTCCCAGCGAAATGCACCGGTTATAAAGCAATCAATGCGACGAATCTATCGCTAAACAATAACAGAAATACAGCGTAAACGTGGTAAAACAGAAAGATCGTCAGCATCACTGCAATTTGTCACCACTATTCACCCCATGCTGTCTTGATCGTTTACCTCTCCAATTCATTTTTCCACCTAGCCCTCTTACTCCGTTCTGTATTCACACAACATATATTATTTTCCTTTCAGCAATCCCCTACATTCGCTGGCACGTGAAAATTTATCAAAGAGTTAACCCTTAATTTCAGAAAAAACACATACCAGTATGTAAATAGCCTTCCTACACCGCAACTGGCATATCAATACAGTTATAACTCAGTCACAACAATGACCACGCATGAATATTCTGCGAATAACAAGACAATCGGTAAGAAGGAAGCAAACTGTATTTACACCGACACATGATACATGTTATCTTTCTGCGGCAATCCACTTTACAAAAGCTCGTCTGAATCCGCGTTTTCGCGGGCAATATGCGTCACCTGTGTGTTTAAAAGGCAAACAATTGACTCCGGCCTCCGTACACACATCACGTAATTAAAAATTAACCGCTATTTGGGGAAAGATTGAAAGCAATAATATACACCAACACTATCAGTCAGTTACTACACTTCTATTGCAGCGGAAACACTTGTTTATCTCGTCTTGCAACTTGTGAAGATATACCTTCATTGTTTTCTTCGGGATAGTTTCTAACTCAGTCCCCCGGAAAAAGCTCGAGAAAAATCTACTTGCAACAACAATTAGTAACTTAACATTTACCCCTCATTATCTTGTGTGGTGATGATGTATTGAACGCAGCCTCAACCAGGGTCCCCGAAACGCATATTTTGCTGTCAAAGCGGGACCAATTGCGATGGAAGTCATCACTCTGGCAGATGATTTAGGGTCTCCTCGAAGCTTACGTGCCATTTTCGCGGTCTACAGACTTGAAGCAATTTAAATTAGCTTACAAATGTGTCATAAAATCTGGTATTTCTCGGTGAGGATTCACGAATTTGGATGTCTTTATCCATGCAAAGTGGGAAGCGGAAATGGAAATCATCCAGGGACAGAGATGTGCTGCCTCCCCTTCCCTCATCAGCCTTCCATGTAGTTACGTTTTAGACCTGTGTTTTCTGCATCTCGTGAATGGACCCTGTATGGGACAGGTATAAAGGTAACGGGGGCATCTATAAACTTGCTGATAGCAATCATCATACTGTGAATATCTTTATTCAAGCCACTGTAGGCAACTGGAGTCACTCACTTGTTGCTGTCAGGCGTCGGTGATGAAGTGAACACTGTTATACGTATCGTTGAAAGCCTGAGAGAGCAACAATGTATTTTGTACTTACCCAGCTGCTGGAGAAAATTGCCCATCTGAGAAGTTGGTTAATGAGCATGTAAACGGTGTGCACTTCAGTCGCATTTGGATGACGTCCATATCCACGGAACTGTCGGCGTAATCCACGGTTTCTTTCTTTGTCTACCTAATTGTAGGACACACATGTTCGCAGCAAGTCCCACTATTTCGTCTTTTTCAGACGAATAGACGTAGGTCGAGAAAAATTTACTTGCGGCAGCAGTTAAGGAATGTAATCAGTAACTCACTACTCATCCCCCGTTACAAATTTGGGGAAATGACTGAGAATGTTGGAGGAGATGCGGGTATGGTTGAGGGGCGGAATGGGGGTCGGTGCGAAAAACGGAGGAACGTGGGGAAGGGCAGTGGATAAAAGATATTCGAAGGGTACTGTGTGGGTATTCCTGGATGAGAAGAGGAAACAACCCGTTTGAAGATAACTGACGGGTGGAAGGGCGGAAACGGTGGAAAGCGGGTAAGCACTGGGGTCACCGGGAAAGTTATGCCGTCATCTGCTTTGCAATCGTAGAGCAGATAACTACACTGCTGTAGGACATATCCCGTGTAATTTTTGGAAATTGTTAACAACCTTCCTCTAATTTTTACCAACTAGTGTCCAAATATTCGGGTAGCCTAGCAGAGGAGGATCTAAAGGCTACAACGACCAGCTGCCGGTACATTTTCGTCTAGCCTGTAGGCAGGTACGTCGTTGCAGTGGAGCACGCGGAGCAGAGTGAGTTTAGTCGTGACCATCGGAATCTGGAGGAGAAAAGAGTAGAGAACGGTGTTAGCCGGAGACTCAGAAAGTACACAGGATTTGCCTACATTTAATCGCAAAAGATAGTCTTCAAACGGTGAAACACGAGAACGAAGTGGTAAGGTAGTGTGAAAATCCGAACTGGAACTTGAGTTAGCAAGATTCCGAATGTAATGCCGGCAACCAACTTTGCTTTAGTGAGCAACATCTACTTTGTGAAGCACCAACAGTGTAGTCTGTCTCCTAATATGGAGTTACGGTCAGTTGTCTTGCAAATTGTTAAGCTATAGGAATTTTGCTCCTTTTATATTAAAATTTATGGTCTCAGTCGTTAGCTCGTACCAGTAAGAGACCATGGTCGTCTTGAAGGATCCCTGATTTACCTGTCCGTTATTCGTCGTCGCTTTCTCATCGATGTGATGGCTGCTGCAACCATTCTCCCTAGTTTTGTATCGCCAACCGCCTCACTGAGTATTAGGCAGGATGAAAATGTGATGGCTGATTGTTAGAGCGTCTAAAATACCAGTAAAAATCCCTTGACACTACTTGCCGCTGAGGAGTCCGAAATGGTGTATGGTCAACTCATATTTCACAAGACATGTAGATGCGACTGCAATCACATCTAATGGCACAGTGCTGCATGAAATGCTTGCTCATGTAGTAACGGAATCGATGTTGGTAACTAAATTCTGAAACTGTTCGCAATATTTCTACCTACACTACCCAAAAATGTACGGTCTATAGTAGGAAGTAGTGACACATGTAAATGCAGGATAATAGTTTAAGGAATGTATCAGGTTATGTTACCAAATAAAAATCTATGCAGATGGACTACGTCGTCTGGTTATAACGCAAACTTCGGACGTTGCATACCTTTGTTATCTGTGTGATGGCGGATGAAAGTCCGTGCCCGTCTCATGGTTTTCAGCAAGTTTTATTGGGGTTGTGCACATCGGTAACCTGGCATGTGGATTATATAATACCGAATACTATTTTGTAAACCTTCAAGAATTATTAACTTGACGGTACTCATAAACTGGTACCTTTTGCGTTAAATCCATTATATAAGAAAAATAATTTTTATTATCTTCGCATTGAGGCTTTGCATATGTTTCAAAGTGGCACTTTCTTCTTTATCTCATAACCGCCATCTTCTAATGTTTTTCATAAAGTTCAACGAGCCCCCCTCTGTACTACTCAGGACACAAAATTCTGGTAGGTTTTTCAACATATGTCAATGTGATGATGCCTGCAACTGGGTTTTCTCGTGTTAAATTACTAATATGAGAATAAAACATTTATTTCTTTATTGCTTTGTTTATTACTGCATCAGGTTGAAGAATTAATTGATCCATAATCTAGATTGATGGTGGCATCGTTATTCTTTTGAAGTCGTTGGGTTGTAACTCGACTATGATGGCTTATCATCTGCCAGAGGCTCGGATCAACAGTTGTCGCCCTTTCTAGGTAGGATAATGATCCAATTTTTTAATAACGCACTGCTTATTGGAGTTTACGGGGGGCAGAAAGCTCTGTGATTC